TTTTTGCATATTATAAAAATATTACAATAATACAATAACGAAGTTACAATATTGATGATTCGATCTTTTATCTCGTTTCTAGCTACAGAAATAGTTGTAAGTCAACTCAATTTACCCACATATTTTATTAAGTTTCGCGTTTCACAATTGTGTTTAAAGCACAATGAGCGGCATGTGGGTAGCTAATTAAAAGTTTTGTTTCAAGACGAGTAGTTAATTAGCCAGCATAAAATGGATGTTAATTTTCTGAAAGCAACAATGCTTGAAATTTCTTGCCGCAACAGGCTCGTTTTTATCTGACATGCGGGCGTTGTAAATTAAATTAATATCACTACGTGTTCGCGACGCGTCAGTTCATTAAATGGTACCTGATTGTAAGATACAGCATTCAACTGCAATTTATGCACATCTGTCCTCAAATTATCATCATTATTATTTTTAATATACATAAAATTAACTTTATTTATTATTCTGGTTCAACTGAAATCTCTCACGCAACACGTTCCAATTCAAATACACATATATATTCACGCGTGTGCCTCGGACCTTCGTGAAAAACAACGGGCGGAGGTTTGTTCAACCTGCTTAGACGGAAGTGACGTCGGTCATGCACACGCGGGGCGACACGGCTCGTTGAATGCCGCGCGGAAATAACTCACGTATGGGGGTATCGTCACGTCTCTCGCAGTAACACGCCGGAACGGAAACGCGGATACGTGCATACGAGCGAGCGAATGGCGTAAGTGTCGAGCGGATGGTAATCGCGCGCGAAACTTATGCGCTTTCGAGAGAGAAAGGGAGAGAATCTTCGAAGGAAAAATAAAGAGAACCGATGTCCGGCGCGCGAGAGCGATGCATTGCGAAAGGTTCATCCTCTCCGACAGGACGATGTCGAGAGAGGATGTCTATCGCGACGTAAATGCAGCCTTCGTTATCGGCTCGTAGGATTTTTGCTCTTCATCGACGTGACGCGCTTATATAATATCGGAAATATCGAGGAAAAGCTCCAAGTTATGGGGCAAAAATTATCGAATTTAGGAAAATATTCAATGTGTAATAAGCTATATAATTTTTGTAACTCAACTTGAAAGCTGTATATCTGTTTAAAATAAATTTAATTTTGTAGGCGCTAAATTTTTTTTATAAAAATTTTCGTATACATTTTTTTACGTTACGAACGTGCGAGGATTAGATTTATCCTTCTTCAAGGTTTACTTTGGCCCAGGAAATCATTAACAGCATCCGAAAGCTTTTCGTTTTATCGTCTTACCGTCTTACTGCTCTCGTCATCGAGGGAAGAGAAACGACACGGTGATCTCTGTGACTACTACACAAAGTTATATCTCGTCGAGCCCCCATAAGGTGACTAAGCCGAAATAGGCGTCTTTTCGTGCGCGGCGAAGATAGTTGGCTTTCTAACAATGGGACCGACATCGCTTCTCGTTACGAAACTTGACGCCTTTGTCGTTCCCACGTGGGCACATACATTGATCGACGTCGCGAGAGTTTATATGTGTGTATGTATATGTACACATCCGTGACCTCGTGTGATCCTCGCTACATGACAATGGACCTGGTTTCACCGCGCAACATCTCACACACGGTTTGCACGGTGGCACCTTCGAGACCACTCGCACTTTTCCCACCCAGAAGAAGCCACATTTTGAATCTATCACTCCCCATCAGATTTTTTACGGAGCGTTACTTTGTTACGGATGCACAATGTGCGAAAAAGAAAAAAACTTGCCTTGATTTTCAAAGAAAAATTGAATGACTTCCTAAAACGTCGACATATCGTCACCAGTGAAATTTTCTCTCTTCACGTTCCTTTTTTTTCTTCCTCTCGTTCAAAAGGTTTCGAATAACAAGGAATAAAAAAACTACAATTATTTTAATAATAGAATAATGAAGATAAAAGAGAACTACATGCGTTGTAAATATAATATATATTCAATTAACGAGGAGGAGTGTATCTCTTCCTGCTTTTTATTTCCAATTATTCTTAAATAAATTACGCTGTATTAATTGCATATAGATTAATGAAGTCGCTAATGATTCTTTCGCTGAACGACTTCTACATCTACTCGGCGCCGTGAAAGCGTAAATCAGAAATGTACATATAAATAAAATAGTTCCTTCGGAAATATTTTATTTATAAATCTCGCAGGGCCACCGGAAGAGAGGAATAATTAGCGGCGCCGAAATAATCTCGCAATTCCTCACCTTACATCGGCGCGAACCTCGCCTCATCAAAGACGACGCTTGTCACCGAGGTCGTCGCCATCGTCATCCGGTCGATTTTATTTCCGTCGCTTCGACTGAAAGGTTTCGAAAGCCCTGCTTATGTAGAGAGCGTCAGGCCAACATCACGTCTTGCACGCGAAATGCATTTGGAAATCCGAAAAATCTATTTTCTCGCGCACCCACGCTTTACCCTCTTATTTCCCAGCTGATACCCATCGCGTGTTTATATTTTTATCCGTGGCCCACATCCCCGGGGGAGCGCTCCGATTCATTATTATCGCGTAATCGAACGAGGAAGAGGAGAGAGAAAGAGAAGATTCGCGAAAAGACGAGGTCTCTCTTTCATTTCTCTTTTATCTCTCGTCCACGAAGGCGAAGACCGTAAACCCATTTCGTGCCAGCACTCAGCGCTACAAGATTGTTCCAGTAACTTATTTTTACGATACGCGCAATCGTATCTTTGGTCTGGAGACGCGAGCTGCGTTATTCCTATAAAACGAAATTTACCGTGGTGATAAAAGCGCGAGATTCTTCCCTCCGAGTGAAGCCGAAATGATTGCGCGCTGCGAAGCTTCTTCAAGTTGAATTAGAAGCATACGCTCAGGTCGCATTACTTTATCAGAGACGAGCTGTTGATTGTGATATAATATTACAAGCCAGTATATATTAAAGGATATGATAAGATACGTAATTTAGGAAACATAAAACACAATTATTTTCGCACGATGGAAATTTAAGAAGTTTCTCCTTATATGTATTTAATCAACGAGAGATGTGTCATATTTAATTTATTAATCATTATTAATTATTTATTAATTACTGTATGCTATTTTAAACAAAAATAGAACTTTTGATAGTGTTCTAACTCTTTTATAAATAGTAATAATAATAACATCTTAACTTTAATCATGCATATAATTAATGTGACGACGACTTTCGATGGAAAAAAATGTCTCTTGATCTATCGGTATCTCCTTTGCTTAATTCTTATTACGCTAGTCGATGACCTCGCGGTTATCAAGCTGGTAATTTCGTTTTTCTCTCCGTTACCACCGAAGGCAGCAGGAAATGCTTGACTTATGACCTTAAGACCCCATCGCCGATTACGAGCGGTAAAAGTGGCCGGCGCACACGGAACACTTTCTACAATTAATTATAGTGCACCGGGCGCGATCTGTTCTGTGTTCCTCTGTTCCTCCAGCAGCGACGGCAGTCCCTTAATTCGTCCCTACAAATTGATTACGAAGCACCCCGTCGTACGTTTAAACATCCGACCAAGGATCGTTAATCTCGCGTTACGTTTCACGACGTTCGGACGACGTTAGTCACACATCCTCTTCTCTTCGAGTCATTTTGTTAGCTCACTGTTAATCCCGCGGAAGGAATGTCGAGACTTTTTTTTACGGATTAAAAAACGTCGACCGGTCAGTTTATATATCGTGTTACTCGTCGCTTCTCGTTACCTGCACCTTGCACGCGACGTGAGGATTATCCTGGCCACGAAATAAATGGCCTCGCGATTCGCCAAAACAGTACGCGCGAATAAAATTCCCATTCGAATCGAATACTCGGATCCAGATGAATCTGGATCCGGATGGTGATTCAGTCTGATGAATCACGCCTTGGCACGTCAAACTTTTTGCCTGAAAATTTGGGTCAATAAGGATACGGCTATCTATAGATAAATATGTAGTCATAATTTATGATTCTCTGTTGTCCATTTAGCCAATTAAATCTGACATTTAATGATGACTCAAGAATAATAAATTATTCTTAATTTATTCTTAAAATTAATCATATTTTATTCTTGAAAAAAATCCATCTCATTTAATTCTTTTGTGATTAGAACAACATAAGCGCGCATGCCATTCTCCGATTTTTATTAAGGAAAATGATATATTCAAAAAAATAATATAAAGTTTATATAAGGATGTATGGGACGGACAATTAAAAATAAAAATATTAACGCTATATCATAGAAAATAGCTATGATTTAAGCGCTAACTTTCAGCTGTTTCCAGCGTTGATACCACATAAAATGCTCGGTTGAATCGGCAATCACAGTAGTTTTTTTAATAATAATTGTAAAACGAGCAAGTAAATCGTTTTGTAACTTTGCAGATACATTATTACATGTTTGAAGAATATTATATAACAAAATCAAATTTTATCATTTATTATTTTTTTATAGTTTGTGAATAATTTATTATCTGTCTCTCGAACATTTACACATAAAATCCTATGTTAAAATCGCAAAATTTATTAATTAAACGAGTAAGTAAAAAATTTGAAATAATTTATCATGATTTGGGACGTTATTAAGAATGTCCAATTAAAAATTTACGGCAATATCATTGATTTATTTATCCAATATACCCTTAAACTCGATTGAAATTTTTTGTCATAAATCAGCTGATTAAAGCGTAAATTTGCTAATTAAATTTTAAAATAATAGTATGTTAGGTATAAAAATTAAAATAATATATTTTAAATAATACCTATACTTTAAACTTGATTAATATTTTTGACAGTTATCAGCTGATTTCTGTCTTGCGAGAATCAATTATTGTAATATTGTACATCCTAAAACTTGATTAATATTTTTTGACAGAAATCAGCTGATTTCTGTCTTGTGAGAATTAATCATGTATTTAAAAAGTGTGTTATTGAAAAAAAGAAAATACAATTAATTGCACGTTGAATTAAAGCATTAAAATGCACACTTTAATTAAAAATGTCGTCACTTTTGATTACAGGGCAGTGGTGGTGGTGGTGGCGGTGGTGGTGGTGGTGGTGGTGGTGGTGACGAGTCCGACGAAGACACGCAGTGCGCTTTGAGCGAGAACTGGACCTTCGAGAAAAAGACGAGACGTTGGTCCCGCATAGTCGACGTCACGCAGGCGAACGTCGAGAGGCTGCAGGCGATCGCCGGACAGAACGCCGCGTCCGAGGAGGATTCCCTCGAGGATCGTCTAGAGGCTGAAGAGGCAGAGGACACTATGCTGGAAAACATGCGATACGGTAGCCTGCCCCCGGGCACTCTCCCCGACGAGATGGGTCCGCGGTTTCGCAGGTCCGGCTCGGAGAGGCTGCGAGACGGCGCCAAGGCCTTCTTGAGACGCGTGGAGTCCCTGAAGTCGCGACGACGAAAGCGTCAGAATCGCGACGGAGTCGTGATCAGCGGGCCCCAGGTACTCGACGTCATGTCTATGCAGCAAAAGATGAAAGAACTTAACTGCGTGGACGTGTCGCTCACGGGACCCGCGCCGGTGGCCTTCAACGATCTCCTGTCGGTCTCGCCTAATCAGATTCCCGGCTCACCGTTGACCTTGCCAGCCACTCCCTATCATCTGCCGCCGTCGCCCTTGGCGAACGCGCCCAGCCCCTTCGGCGACGACTCGTCCAGCTACTGTTCGGACGGCTCGCAGGGCGGCGGACCGACACCGACGCCGATCCGCACGAAGATGAATCGCGCCCGTCGATTGCTGCACCGCGGCAGAGAGGATCAGGGCGCGTTGAGCGACTCCGAATGTCAGCCGACCAATTGGCGGCACCGATACTTCTGCGATGCGAACAGCAACCACGCCAAAGTGCTAGAGTTCGTGAACGCGCATCCTCAGAGCTCCAAGGACTCGCCGGCGAAGAACACGGCGATCACCACCCGTGGCGGCAGTCTGAATCTCGGCAAGGAGTCGCAGAGGTATCGCGACAAGCTCGTCCAGGACAAAGAGGACAAGGTGGTGTCCTCGAAACGGGAAGAGAAACTGCACAAGAGCTTCCGACATCGCGATAGTGAGTACAAGGACGCTGGAAAATATTTGAACAAGGATGTGACGATCTATCGGGAGAAGTCCAGGTCCAGAAGCTCGGAATTGGCCGGCAGTCAGGAGAGCGGTTCCACCATGGCCAGCAGAGACTCCGATCAGGAAGAGGAATCGCCTAGGCACAAGGGCACCGTCGTCAGGTGGCACAGCTTTCAAAGGGGATCGCTATATCCCGAACCCTTGGACCCGCTGTGTCCCAGAGCGATGGCTTCCATGTCTTGCGGACAGCTTTTGGTCCTGAGAAAATTGGCGCTGTTGAAACTCACGGCATGCATGGAACGATACTGTCCGACTCATCGTACTGGATGGAACTGGGAACTTCCGAAGTTTATCAGGAAGATCAAGACGCCCGATTACAAGGACAAGACCGTTTTCGGAGTGCCGCTCTTGTTGTCTCTACAGAGAACCGGTCAAGCTTTACCTAAGTGTATCCAGATCGCTCTGAGATGGTTGAGAGCCAATGCGCTGGACCAGGTGGGCATCTTCAGAAAAAGCGGCGTCAAGTCGAGGATACAAAAGCTAAAAGTCATGACGGAGACTCAGGGAGACAACATCAATTTCGACGGGCATCAGGCATATGACGTCGCCGATCTTGTCAAACAGTATTTCAGGGAGTTGCCGGAGGCTCTATTGACGAATAAACTCTCAGAGACGTTTATCGCCATCTTTCAACGTAAGTTTGATTTTCACTTGTTCGTTTTCGACTTTATGGGTCACGCAAAGAAAGAAATTTGATTTCTCAATGAATCAAATTCTTCTTACAGATGTACCAGCGGAGTTGCGTCCCGATGCTGTGCAGTGTGTCCTGTTGCTGCTTCAGGACGAGCACCGCGAGGCACTAGAGACTCTGCTCGACTTCCTCAACCATGTCGCTAGCAACTCGGTCTACAACCAGATGACAGCCTCGAATCTGGCGGTGTGTCTAGCGCCGAGCCTGTTCCATTTCAACCATAGCAACACGAACGTGACCAACAGGTCGAGCAGCGTGTCGCCACGTAGGCGGAAGACTGTGGGTATCCCCGACCAGCGAGAATTGTCGGAAAACAAAGCCGCTCACGACTGTCTTCTGCATCTGGTCAAGACGAATCGTGAATTATTCATGGTGAGTATACCGAGGCGTCGTCATTCGTCGATCGCAATCTCTCGCCCGCGCTTGCTTCGATTCAAGGCACGAGTACGGGGCCCTGGCTCATGCTACTTCCGATTTTTTTCAGGTCTCGTCGGACATGTTGACGCAGTGTCATTTTAATTACATGGAGGAAAGCATTCCGGTCGCACTAGAGGAACTCGGCTCGGAACTGAAACAGGATTGGAGAGGCTACCTGTACGCCTGCACAACGGCCTTATTGAAGGAAGCGCGAGAAAAGTAAGTACATGTCATTATCATATTTATATTATCTGTGAAAATTGAAAAAAAAAAACAATTATAAAGATGGACAGAAATCGATAAAGTTGATAGATTAAGATGCGCTAAATGAAGCTTCTATGTTCTGTTCTAGCAGAAGTCGCGGCTGGGTCACGGTAAACAATCCCGCTGACAATACTGTAGAAATGGCGTACAAGAAGGTGGGTGACGGACATCCGCTTCGTCTTTGGCGAGTATCAACGGAAGTCGAAGCTCCGCCGAATGAGCTCTTACATCGTGTCTTACGAGAGAGACACATCTGGGATCCGCAACTTTTAAAGTATAGACTGGTAACCAAGCTAGATACCAATGTGGAGGTCTTCCAATATGCCACCGGAAACATGAGTCCGCTGCCTGCCAGAGATTATTGCATATTAAGGTTAATAAAATTGTCATATAATTAAATTAGATATTTTATTTATTTACTTATTTTTAATAACGGACGTTGTCTTCTATAAAATTTTGGACGATTATTAAAGATGTGAAATCTCTAATCAATATAATTAATTATCTTTTGTAGATCCTGGCGGCATGACCTTCCCAAAGGTGCCTGCGTCATTGTCGAAACATCCGTGGAACATCCAGATGCTCCTGTCATGCTCGGCGGAACCCGCGGCATCGTTTTGGCCTCTCGTTATCTTATCGAGCCGTGTGGCAGCGGCAAATCCCGCATTATGCATTTATCCAGAGTCGATACGAAGTAAATAACTTTTTTTTTTGCAAATAATATGTTTTATTTTTCCCAATTTTTAGTTTACTTAAACATGTGAAATTATTTGCTTTCAGAGGTCGTACACCTGAATGGTACAATAAGAGCTATGGGCACATCGCTGCTCTTCATCTGAGTAAAATCCGCAACTCTTTCAAGCACACCACCGACGGGCCCGAAAGCAAAGTTTGAGAGCAGGATACTGTGCAACATCAGTTGTTGCACGGTTCCATCTCTTCTTCCTCTTCATCCCCCATGTTTCTCCAAGTTCCCGACGAGGAGCAATACGATCATAGACTTCTAAAGGAAGTACTACCAGTCCAGCCTACGATCGATGAGGAATAATCTCGATCGATCGAGCAATTAGTAACCAAAACCCACCGATGTCATAAGTTAGCGTCATTCAACAACAACCGGTTCTAGATTCGATATAAGTAACTCGATGTTATCGTAGTAGTAGGAGAATCCTCCGTATGACGTTTACTGTCCAAAGATCTTACCGTCCGTTTGTCGTGAAAGTTGTGAGGAACAGGATGTAAAAAAAGAATTGAATTATCTTACTCGACAGTTTCAATAACAAAAGTGACTTTAATGACTTAATAATTTCGGGATTAACAAGATGACATTATTTTTGTGATTTTGATGTTGTTCAAAAGTATAAATTTTATCGATTCTGAGATTGTGATCGGGTAATTCCTGAAATCGTGTCTTGCTGCGCTTCATTGAGCTGAATCGCATTTTAATAATAAGAGATCAAGATAAACGCTTCTGGTTGCAAGATATATAAAAGATGAACGTCATTCGGTGTTTTCGACGACTATGTTACGTATATGTTCGGTGTGAGAGTAGCAATTTCATGGGTTTATTCTGTGCTACAGCAACTTCGTATCTGTGATAAAAATAAAATAAAAACATACCTGCGCGCGCGCAAAAATATATATGACCAACGTAAAAATGATATAACATTAATAAAATTTTTTCATAATAACTTATCCGATCAAAGTTCCTGATTGATATAAAGATTCATCATTTCGAATGTTATTAGAGTAACAGATTATAATACGACAGCTATTTTTTCTTATCTTTTGCTTTATATTTTATCTTTTTCAAGTGCAGCGAGATTTTATCACTCTACAAAGATTAAATGTCAAATATATATTTTTCTTATAACTAAAATTTTCTATAACTAATGATATTTTAAAAGAAAAATAAATACGAGGAGTTTGGTGGCAATAAAATGTCGCTGCATCTCGCTCTAAACTGCAGAATGCACCCATTAGTTGTAACGACTGCGATTAATCGTAAGCAAAATCGCTTAATCTAAGTTAACGACACGCGTGCCAACAATGTACGCCCGTCTCTAATCAAGATGTTGACCGATAAATGTTCCTGTCAGACGCCTAAATCAGGGACGAAGCCTAGATAAGGTACTGTTGTCTTAAAATACAAGATTTGTTTCATATGTTTTCATATGTTCAACAACAAGATATATTTTATATGTTTCTCTTTCGGACCAAATATACCAATTGTTTTCTATCGTAGTGTAACACGTTTAAGGTAGTTGACATTTGTTGGTAGGGAAATTTTCCTCTCCCGTAAGTGTTACCGCACGTAGACGGACGAGTATGTAAATGTCGCGTAAACATGTACACGTGTGTCTATTTATAGACGTGCTTTTATAAGCACGTGTTTGTTACATGTAAAAGAGAGAATCACATCGTCTCACTGTACGAGTTGCTCGAGATGCTGCTTCACTGTTTAAATCGTGACAAAAAAAGATAGAGCATGCAATGATGATATTTATTTTATATCATTAAGCGAAAATAATAATTCATAATATGAGAGAAGCGCTCTGATATTATTCCTTCTTCCTTATATCTATAATACCGCATGATATTACCTCGACTAATATTTTTCTACTATTTTTAATTACTAAAGTATTCAGAGCTTTTTTTATTTCGATTAAATATCTCAAAAACACATGTTGCGCGAGCAGCGCATTTATAAAGATAAAGCAGTTCTTTTATGCAGCTCTGCTCATTATTGTAGATTTATCGTCCAGACCGCGATCGCCGCGGCTGTTCGAGCAATGCGAAAGGATTTTGAGTAAAGCGTAGGTTTTCAAATCTCGTTGTTCCATCATATGAGTGACAAACCCACTCGGCGTAAACAAAAATAAAATTATGATTGTTACTCGTGTCGATGTTAAGAGTTAAGAGTTAAAAAAAAGAAAGACATCTGTCATCCTTTCATCGTGTCTATTTGGAATCGTCGCGAATCAATCAATTTAGGACGTGCAGTTAAGATATTCAATCGTTCGACATGTTCATATATGCAACAATTACTATAGGGACCATCTCATACACGTAACAAATAACGAAATGTCACCCGAGCGATAATCGATAAAGGTAAAGGGAAGAGATGTTGAATATACATAATTCGATGAATTAACGCGTATTATTCGATATATGCCGAAATGAAATAATCAGGTTCACCATCTCTTCTTTTTGACATTGATCGCAGCGTTTATCTCCCGTGTTTATGAATTCACTCCCATTTTTGTTACGTTCATAGATCATCTTTGTTCGGAACCTAAACAGAGAATGACCTGCGCATGATGCACCTCATCGAATCGAATTCTAAGTGTATTTTAATGTAATACTAGTCACTTTACATGATAGCCGAAAGTTACGGATTACGATATAAATAAAAGTACCATAAAATTTTATTGCGCAGTGTGTGTTGCGCGCCGCGAGAATATATTTAAAATATTAATTAATATTGTGCTATATATATATTATACATATATATACATATATATTATATATTGATGTTAAGTAATCATACGTAAAAATATATCATATTTTTGTGTCCAAAAAACGCCAGTAGAAACATGACGGCCGAATAAAGATGCTGTCGGTGTTTCTTAATATTTGTAAACTATATATATATATAATATATATATATGTGTGTATGTATATATATATATATATATATATATATATATATATATATGTATATGAACGTCTTTATTCTTCTAATCTGTGTTCCACTAGAATGTAAATATGTATATTATAAAGTAATGAACAACACAGAGTTATATTCCTATTCTTATTATTTCATTTCCCTTTATTTGTTTCATCATGTCAATCTTCGTTAGCCATTTATCAATAACCAACCGTGCTTTTGCATTGTTTAATCGATAACGCGTGTTACCATGGACAATGCATCCCGACGTTCAGTCTGTATTTAAGGGTGAATATATGGAATTTAGTTTCTCATGACAAGTCGCTGATGCGCTTCGCAGAATTTACTTTGACGCTCAAATTAGACATACATCTATCGTACTTCGATCCGAAGAAACTGCGAGCCAATTACAATATCAAAAATCGTACATTATATAATCTTTATAGTGTAGAAATTCTGGTTTGAAAGTCTTAATTCTGCAAAATGGTGAGATTGCACGTGAAGAAAGGTGACGAGAGCCAATTTTTATATGACACCAACGTAGATGCAAGTGTCGACGATGTCATACGCGATATCGCAATAATTTACAATGGTCGTTTGAAGATCTCGAGGATCTGTTACGGTAAATATCTTTGCGAAAAGTTATTTTATATATATATAAATGGATTATACAATTTTTTTCACTATTTTTTTTACAAGTTTATGAAGAGAAAAAAATGTATTTTAATTTTCTTCCTCTGATTGACATTCTTCGATTATACGCTATCTTGATATATCTCGATATATTGTTGCATTCGATCTTATTATATAAAGTAAATAATCCCGTTCGTTTAAATTCAGTACAGCAGCTTTCGACTACCTTTTACGAGCTTTTTGTGGCATTTATGAGAGAACCCTGGCTTCACAGCCGGAATATTAACGCGAGAAATCCATTAGCGATTATCTCTCCGGGGCACAGCTGCGGCTTTTAATAACAGCGTATAATAAGAGAAGTCCGAGGGTGCCCCTTCGAGTTTATGAACCCATCTATCCTGGACGCCGTGTGTGTAATATTAGTCACACGTCGTGCGGGATAATAATTATACAGATACTTGACACCGGTCTCTCCTTTACACGCATCTCTCTCTCTCTCGATTGAAAAATAGAGATCGAGGAGCTGGCTAAGCACGGCACCATGTTACCACCTGAGATAATGGGCTTAACGGACGAGCAGGTCGAGGAGCTCAAGCTCAAGGACGAATGGGCCGACAAATGTTCGCCCATGGGCGGCTGGACTTTCAACAAAGACAAGATCGGTATGTGATACAGCTCACCGGCACCGGATAATAATGGTTTTTAGAAATATATGTGAATAGCTTGTGACATAATCGAGATCGCGAAACTTTGGGAAGATTTAAGAGAAGGGAACCCAGATAGCACAGCTATTCGAAAAGGGACTCAAAATTGGTGACATACAGCATGTATTATATGGCTATTTTTCATTTTAATTTTAGTTAATGCTTGTTCAATAATTCATAAGAGTCTCTCATTTCTGCTTTGAAAATGTTTGCAAAGCAATACAAAGTTTCGTGAAAATAGGCAAGTAAATATTACTCAAGATAGTATGTAATGTGCACGATGAATTGAGATTAAAATTAAGATAAATGCAGGTCGTAGGAATGGTAGACAGCCTAACGAAAAGATGCAGGAGGTGCTGAAGAAAACTATCGAGGAAGCACGTACTATAACATCAAAAGTAAATGCAATTCGATTTGTTACATTTTACCCCTAACAGCACAGCATGTCCAAAAAAACGTTCAGAGAACATCTAAAGGACATTCAGAGGATGTAAAATATCCTCTAAATGTTCTCTGTGCTGTTAGGAACGTTCGTTGACATAGCTCGATTATTGACAATTCTGTGACATCATTTTAAAATCATAGAAATTAGTGCAACAAGAGAAATTGGTCACCCAGAAGACGGTTCAAGAGGCTCTAGATATATTAAGAGGTGCTGTCATGATCGTTTATCCGATGGGACTTCCGCCACATGATGTGATACTTAAAGAATTCGAAAACACCGAGGATCTCACCGGTACTCAAGCATCTCTTGAGGTACACACTTTTAAAAATTAATAATCGATATGTATGAAATACAAGATAATATAATGGTTTAAAAAATATTATTTAGAAGTCTCCTGCTTATTCGTTAAGTATTCTTTCAACATCGCGGAGAGAGATGTTTGAAGAATTCTAATGTATCGTTTTTAATATTTTCTAAAATAATATATGGCAGACAAGAAACGTTTAAAAGAAATCTTCATCTTTGCAAATTATGTAATCTTTTATATTGCTTGGGTGAAATAAAGAGAAAAAATAAGCGAAGATTGGCGACATCTTCGTTGACATTTAGAAAGGCGTACATTTGTCGCAGGTAATCGATGTGCAATTGGCTCAACTGTGGTTCTCCGGAAAGGAGTTATTACCGGGGAGGAAAATGAAGGACTTCCTAGGTAATAACGAGAAGACCAAGGTCATCGTAAAGCTGCAGAAGAGAGGAGCTGGAAAACCAGCGAGGGAGCCGCTAATGTCAGAGGACGAACGGAAGGAATTGATGCTGAGCGCTTATCGTCGTCAGGAACAACTGAAGGTAAGTACCTCTGTATGATGAGTATCTTCGTCCTGGATGAATCATCCAGAATAGTATATATCTGTCTGTCACCGAAAATAAAATACGGCAATCGTAAATACTTATAATATGTTTCGACTAATTTTGGAATTTTTATTGGATGAATCAAACAATATTAATGTTTATTTATCTACGATTGGTGATCCTATAGTCGAGCCTTATGTGTTCTGCTTTACCACCAGTTGGTAGAACTATTCGTTTGAAAATCAATAAAAGTGTAAAGGTCTTACAAATAGAAATGATAGGAAAAATGTCCTAAAATTGCAGTTGTTAAAACAAAAACTGATATATAATATGCAAGTATATATCATAAAGCTATTTGATTTATATAATAACTTATAAAATACTCTAAATAAATAAGAACACTTGCTCCTCAAGTTGCTTTCCATGGATCTATGTGTTTAAAAAGGGATAGTATCTATTGATTACACGCGTCCTTACACGCCCTGTAAGTGGTACCTTTCGAGGTAGGGTAATTTATTCCAGAAGCAACTCGCATGCTTGTTTTAAACTGATACGAATCTTTTTCGAGTCACCTTACGTAACATGTCTTTTGCATTTGCAAATTATCTCTTTCGAACGAAAAATTCGATACTTCTAAAGCATCAGACGCGAATAAACTTACAATTAAAATTGATTCCAATTACATTTACTCATATTTAATTTAAATAATTTTGATAGGAAAAATGATATTATTTTTCTAATAACGTACAATATATATATTTTATAATACGATATCGATTTTTAAAAATTTATATATTTTAGTTTTAAACTTTTTATATGTATATGCATTGATTCCTATTTCTATTGAAACGAAGATTTATCTTAATATAACATAAACTTTTTAGACTTAAAAAAATTATAATTTAATTATTAAACAATGCTTATTTAATCATATCTACAAATAATACATAAATATTTTTTAATACAGAAATATTATTTGCTTGAAACAATATTTTTATTGATTAATATCAATATATTTTTGCTATTTATTAATTCAAATTAAAACTAAATTACGTGATATAAGATAAATGTATATTTATATAAATTAATTGTTTATGGAGACATTGGGAATATGCTCGCAAGCTAACAGGTAGGTGTATTGAACTTGGAAGCAAATGTCCCATTTCCATTGTTTCCATTATCGATTACAAGTTGGAATAATAAATAGCTTCTAAGTACGACTCCCATATACAGCATACGTATAAAAATGTATAATCGAGAAATAATATATACTATTCTAAGATATTATACTATTTAACTTTATATATCGCATGTTTTTTTTCCATTATCTTGAAATGTTTTGTACATGAGCATATTTCTTCAAAACAGCAACAAGTTAATTTTACCAAACTATTATTCGCTTGAATAATCATAGGTAATGGTATTTCGATAAAAGTTAAGTAACCAAATTGCTTGTCAAAGAATTGTTTTGCTTCTTTTCACATTTCTTTACGGAAAGTATAAGCTTTTTCGAGCTTGATGAGTATAAAAAATATTATAAAATAATTGTGAAAATTATACATGCAAAAATGATGGAATATACAAAAGTAAATTTATCTTATTTAGAATGTTTTTAATATTATGTTGCACACAGAACCAAAAAATTCTACATTTCCAAAAAATATACATGCTTAAAATATTGATTATTTATATACACTTTTCTATTAGTTTTAGTTTTAAAATGTAATCAAGTGTAATCAACAAGTTATTTTTTATTTAGGTTCCCTAAACACTTTAACAAAAAATTTTCTGGCTCTATTGCTTATTATTTAAAGAAATATAATTACACTTTTCCAAGCACTTTTTAATATTTCATCATTACGAAACTATTACATCGCTTTGATCAATGAATAAAATGGAAATTAATGTTGTTTCTCTTTAGTTCTCTCTCTTGAAGAATTTGTGCCTTACCGCGTCTTAAAGAAACTCGAATAAATAACGGAAGAAAAGCGTTTTCATTAAGAATCTTATTAAGAATCATCGCGTATGTCGACTTGGAACGTGTCGCATGGGAAATTATGTCTATATATGTAGTGTCCTGCAACTTTGTTCGTTCTTCTTAAATCGATAGAAAGAAGCCGCAATGTTTGTTGCCATTTAATTTATTCGACCTGCCGAATAGGAATTCGTCTGACAATTCTAATGTTTTTTCCCTTGCTGAAGAAAGGAGTGGAATTTTTATTGTATCAGAATCCTCAATAAATTTTTTGATATTTAATATTGACATAAAAATTTGTCGATATTTAATATCGCTGTAGAAATGTAACGATCGATATTTTGTTCAATGATGACAACTCGTTTCTTCCTTGGGTTGATGTGTCTACAAAAAAAACATACCCTATTATATATATATATATATATAACATGATAAATGTACCCACTTTATACACGTTCATTATTTTTACAGTATAGTATACCTTATACAGTTACATAAAAGAAGGAAACTCTAGTATATCTATACATATATGATAAGAATGATAGTGCGGACGCTGATTTAATATTTGAGAATATAATTTGTTGTTGCAAGTATAACGCAAATGGATATCGATATTAATTCGTTATTTCCAAGCAAATTAATAATACGCTAAAAAGCGTCGTTTCGATTTGCTCCACGAAAGCTTGTCCGAATCAAATAACTTCCTCCTGTTCTTTATACGATTCACTTGAATCGTGATTATCGTATTATACTGTAGTTGGCTGTCCTATCACGTAATACAGTCGTTTACCCAACGTCTCGACTGTAAGCTTCCATTACTTCGTCGTACATTTATATTTATCTAAGACTATTTGCTAAATCGTACTGCCGTATTTTTTTTCACGAACTTTTTTATCACGTATTAGTTTCTGAATATCCATATTGCGAACTAATTTGCAATAATCTAATAGAACGATAATAAGCATGTAATAATGGTACCTGTGAAGAACCATTCAGATGTCAAGCAATTGACAGGACGCACTTGATTTCTATCTGTAGGTACTTGTCGCAAATATAGGTCGATGGCAATTCAATTTCACTTTTGTTTTTATTGAAAAGATATTATTTTTGAATAAAATAAAAATTACAAAATTGAAAGTTTAGAGAAAGGAGAGTTAGATATGACTTATTATTTTTATCTATCTCACATCTATATCTAGATATCACAATAATGTGAATTATCTTCAGCATATCGGAATTATGTATTTTATGTCCCGTTATCGTACAATATTACATAATACAGTAAGAATAATATTAACACAAAATGCGTGCATGAAAAATATATAAAAATAATCTATCCTTCTATAAAAATTCCATATAGATAAATTAATTTTGAAGATATTTGTTATCAGACACTCTCCGTAATTTCGCGCGAAATTACGAAGAAGTAGAATCGTGTATTCGTTTCGTCAAGGTCAGAAAATGTTCCTCCTTGTAGATTAATTTGCATGGACGTATTATAAAAGGTAGATATGAGAAACATTTCGTTCTTGCGCAGCAGGGCAGAGATGCCCTCGACACGAAGTGCTTCGCGACACGCGAGGCCCGGCAATATTATTTTATTATAATTCGACGATGGTGTCATAAATTTTTATCGCGAGAAGAGAATTCTTAGGGGATATAAAAAGTTCTCATTTTTCCGGTGTTTTTTTTCCATTATTTTATTACATAGAAAATATATACGCAATCAAGTTTTTCTCTTTTAATAATTTCTCTCTCGCCTCCTTTCTCTATTACATATTATAATTGTGTCAACACGCGACGTTTATTGCAAACTGTTCAGGTGTAATTTTCAAGAATGCAAATTAATTATACTTTCGATGGAAAGTAATTGGAAAATTGTGCGATAAAAAAGAATATAATAAATTACGTGTAAAGAAGCTTTATTGTTGAAATAAAAAAGATATGAGAGATATATCGTTTTATACGCATATAGGTCTCAAATATGTCATAAGGGCAAATATTAGAACTATATAAGATTTTCTACATTTATTATTGATCATAATTTTATATAAAGAGCGTCTTTGTCTTTCTATATCCAGATACGTCATATGTAATTAATCATATGTACAATTGTTCGTCATTTGCATACTCATTTGTCAACGATTAATCATCTTCTATTATTCCTTTACAATTGTTGTCCTTTAAAAATTTTGTCTCCTGTGGATTCATTAATATATCAATTATTTACTAATCTCTCTATCTATTTTGAATGGAAAGAGTCAAATATTTATTATATTATTTTATAGTATATAATACAATACATTTTAAAGGTTATATAATAATTCGTAGATAAAAGAAACGCACATAAAATAAAATTTCATTTACAATTCAGAAAGTCTTTATTTTCATAATAGAATAAAAATAACAGATATATATATATATATTGTTGCGCCCCCGTGTTACGCCCCTGGATCTACATCTTTGTATCGGGTGATACTTTTCGCGGGATCAACTCTTTACGCCTCCGGAAGATCGTCGTCAAGGGAGTTGTTGTTAAACAACTAAGGGTCTTCTTCTGTTTTCGGGAGACATGACAGATTTGGTCTAGCGGTCGCATCGTGCGGACGTTTTCCGAGACCCTGAGCTTCTTTGCATTACGAATGCACTATTTGTTATATTTCATTGGTTTCGTGTATTGGTTCCTCATATTAAAGTTCATTTCCCTATTATGCGAGTGTCTTTATTTCGCGCGCGAGTGAGAGTGACTGTGTGTGAGTGACTGAGCGAGAGGCGTCCCGAGGACGCAACATTTTGGGGGCTCGTCCGGGATCAAAACCGAAAGAATCGCATCTTCCTGAGAGAACGCCAAAATGACGACTCAACATTCGCCGAAAGCGACGCGTTCCCGAACAACGATGAAGGAGATAGACGAGACGGATGCGTTGCAGACCGCACTGCGAGAACTACGAGAAATGCGGGCCGAACGAGAACATCAGCAAGCTCGCTTTGAGACTCTTCTCCGAGAGAAGGACGAACAGCTGCACCAGCTCGAATTGAGGATCTCCTCGCAGCAAACTAACCAGCTAAGTCCTTCTAATATAAGAGCTTCTGGGGATACACGACTGAATTTAGCTTGCGCGAGTACCGCGAGTGCCGCGATAGCCGCGAGTGCCGTGATAAACGCGGGTGAGACGACCGGTGACTTTCGTGCGAAAACGGGCTTAAAACTGAAGCCCGATACATTCGATGGAAGGGTTCCGCTGCGGGAGTTCCTCTCCCAATTTCTTTTGATAGCCGTCGCGAATAATTGGGATGAGAAAGCAAAAATGATTACTCTCGCTGCAAATTTAAGGGGAAAAGCTCGGTCCGTTTTAGAAAATGTCGAGAATTTTGAAGAATTAACATTCGCGGAATTAAAATCAAAATTAGAGTTGCTTTTTGAAGACGGAAACTTGACGCAAAATTATTACTATCTTTTTACGACACGGAAACAAAAATATGGAGAGGATTTCGCTTCCTTTGGAGCCGAACTTGAGAGACTGTCGCGTCTGGCTTACCCCGAATGTCCATATGCGGTCCGCGATAAAATAGCATGCGCGCAATTTGTCTCGGCATTAATAGACGGGTTTGTCAAAAGAACCCTTCAACTGGAGGGAATTACATCCTTAAATTTGGCTATAGAAAGAGCTAAGGCCATAAAAATAATTCAGGGGGATAGTTTTGATAGAAAAAGAGACAATTTTAGTAATAAAGGAAATTACGGCAAAATAAGTCAAAATTATCAAAAAGGAGAGAGGAGCGACGCGCGAACCGATTCCGAAAAAAAGAAAAGCGAACGGTTTGACTCGAAAGGGGAAGCGCAAGCGAACAACTTTTCGGCCAAAGAGAAAGAATGTTGGTCTTGCGGGAAGACTGGGCATTTGCGTTTTCAATGTCCTGAGGCGAAGAAAACTAGAGGTAGTTGAATTTTTCGGGGAAAATTCAATTCTTACAGAAAACGCCCCGACGTCCAATTTTGTTGATCTCATTGATTGTAGTGTTAGAAGGACCTTTCTCTATTGTAAAGAAATTCAACGATGTGGTGTACTGCATTCAGAAGACACCCAGACATCGGAAGAAAGTAGTGCATGCAGATAGATTAGCTCCATTTTTAGATAGAAATATTGATTGTTAATTAGAAATAGTACAAAACTCAAATAAAGATTGCTAGGAATTGGAGAGTTGTGTTTGTGTGTATATTTGTAAGTGCATTTTTTTAATTGGTGAATTTATTCTGCGTAAGGAATGTTTTCTTTTCTAGTTGGAAATTTTTAAGAAGAGGCTTGCCTGAGTTTCTGTTACAAGAGAATTCTCTGAGGAAGTTCCTGCGACCATTACTCATCGAGGGCAACTGGCTCCTTTCAATTGAGAAGACCGTCTCATCTTCAGAAGATTGGTCATTTGGTTCATCACGTTGAAGACTGTCCCTCTCGTGGTTTTTGATCCGTGGTTTTCCCACGAGACTGAGGGCAAATGCCGGGACAGAGACTTAGGGTGTTCACGAGGAACGTTGGGTCCACGGAAGATATTCCCCCCCTTTGTCTGAAGATTCATGGACCATTTCGTTATCCTTCCGGGAGACGGCGAGTATAGTGAAACCGCGAAGACAGCAGGGATATCTTCTATCAACTCGACTGTTATGGGAAAATCTGGCCAATTTTTCTTCAAAAAAACAGTTCGAGTACGGAGAGGAGGAGGGCGAAGCTCGGTAACCTGTAGCAGCAGCTAAGGGAGAGCAGGATTCGTCCGGACAGTGTAGACGCAAAAAGAGAGGGACCAGGCGTTTCGTTCGGTAACCTGTAGCAGCAGCTAAGGGAGAGCGGAGTATCGTTGGTGCCCTAATAGCAGCGTCAGAGTCCTGGGTCTTCAATCTCCGTGAGAATTGTCGGGACGACAATTTTGAAGAAGGGGGGCAGTGTTGCGCCCCCGTGTTACGCCCCTGGATCTACATCTTTGTATCGGGTGATACTTTTCGCGGGATCAACTCTTTACGCCTCCGGAAGATCGTCGTCAAGGGAGTTGTTGTTAAACAACTAAGGGTCTTCTTCTGTTTTCGGGAGACATGACAGATTTGGTCTAGCGGTCGCATCGTGCGGACGTTTTCCGAGACCCTGAGCTTCTTTGCATTACGAATGCACTATTTGTTATATTTCATTGGTTTCGTGTATTGGTTCCTCATATTAAAGTTCATTTCCCTATTATGCGAGTGTCTTTATTTCGCGCGCGAGTGAGAGTGACTGTGTGTGAGTGACTGAGCGAGAGGCGTCCCGAGGACGCAACAATATATATATATATATATATATATATATATATATATATATATATATATAACTGCGGTGTTCATTTCTGGGACTGAAAGAGATTTCTTGTCTCTTTCTCTGGTTATAGCATTCGATGATATTAATAGGTACACTTTATTGGCTCCATTGAAAGCGGAAGAAGGCACATAGAGTACAGTGACGTTAGAAAAGTCTTTATTTCTTGTATCCTGATTATTTCTAGCTACTGTTCTTGCGTGTGCGTGTGTATATTTGCGCTCGCGTGAGATTATATTTATTTATCGATTATTTTCAAAGCATATATAAATACCTAACTGAATGTGTGAGTGTATTTATGCACATTATTAGTTTTTTCTTATAAAAAAAAATTCGGCCAAAAACTAAAAAATATATATTGTACATTTCACTTGTGATAGTCAAATAATATTATTTTTATAAAAATAAATATCAAATTAAATCAATTTTTTTTTCATATTTTCATATTTTTTCTGATGATTTACTAATACCTAATTTATCCGAGAAGAGAATTATATTTATTTATTTCATTAAAGTAAAATTTTTTTTGAAAAATAAAAATGTGAATCGCAGTCAGCAACTTAAGAACAAAAAATTTTTTCCAAAAATGATTATTAAACCTTATATCTTTGATTAACATATCTATGTATATATTTGTTGAGTTTAAGTATTTTAAATATTCATTGTACGACGAGTTTCTGATTGACTTTAAACACACGCTAATACGAAACTAGCACGAGAATTCAAGCGATATTGATTGCAGCGGATACATAAATGTTTCGCTTTCTACAAGCACATGTACGTATTTACATCGCAAAATACAGATATTTACGCATAATATGTATCGCAAATATGTGGTATATAATGTACTGTACAAATAATTTAGGCAGTTGTAGTATTGGGAAATTTGCATGTATCGGTATTATTCGATCAGAGAGACAGGGAATTACATGAAATTTTCGCCAGCGATATATCAGAAATATCTAATTACAGTTTTAAACGATTATACTACAATAGCACGATGAATAGAAAAGATATAAATGCACATGTTCGTTGACGGCCGAATTAAACAATTGAGTCATCGTTATCCTAAATCTATTTTGTACAATTAAAGAAGCTTGTTGACTATATTAATTTGACGCCAAAATCACGATTATCGCGTAAGAAAGATATCGTGTCATGAAATGCTATAATAAATATATCTTATTGGCGTTTATTTATTTCTTCTTTTATTTTGTCTTCGTTGATTAAGAAATTATTGATTTTTCACTTTATTCATACATGTATATCGCAGGGGAACAATTGTGTGTTAAACGCCACCTGATTCTTGTTACATATCATTTATTAAAACACGGTGGCATTAAACAATTACATTACATATTTTCTACTATATACATTTATTTTATCTTTTAATGTTCCCTTGATGTATTTGGAGGCAAAACCTTAATAATGTTAATGTATGACGATTAATATCAATCAGTTTCAATCACTTTGTTTTACGCACAAAGTTTAGCGATACATCGAAGGCAACAGTGAACATATAAATATATTTGTTTGACCGATGTATCGTATGACTCTTATATATAACTCTCGCAAATAACTTGGACCTCAGAATGGGTTATACTTTCGATGAATTTCATATTGGCAGAGAAATCACTTGGATTCAACTTCTCGAATATAACGTCGCAATCACGTATCGTTCGTACTTTTGCATACATTATCAATATAATGACAATTGTAACTATAGAAAAGGTGAATTACACCTCATTACGGAAGACGACGTTAATGTCCGTCTGAGAACTCAATTCACCTCGAAGATTTTCACTTTTGAAGTTCATTTCTCTCGATATAGGGATGAATCTATTCAACAGGACGAACTTTTAAAAGCCGGGTATCATTTCTCCTTTAAAAGGAATCCTCAGCCTCATCCATGTCGATCAGTGGCAGCCTTTCATAGCCCGTAGCGCCCATACTAAGCGGCGCATACTGCTAAAGAGCCATACTACTGATTTCATTATCATTCACCTGACTTTGAGTGGCGGAGGACGTCGCCTCCATGAGACCCTCATCTTCCCCTTCGACCTCTTGCTTGTCGACGCAATACCTGCATCGCATCTTCGCGTCATCCCCCACCTTCACCGATCGCGAAATGATGATCAAAGTGATCACACTGACAACGAAGAGTCCAGCCGGCACGATTATGGCGATCAGCAGCTCCATTCGCGTCTTTTTCAGATCGAAACGCGCCACCACGAAGGCCGAGTCGTTCTGGACAATCCGCATAAATTGCAAACATCCCGCATTGTTAGTATTTTACAATCTAGGATGATAATTGATGGTTAAATTATTGCATACAAATCATTGTATTTTTCGTCAGCTTTAACTTTATCTTTTTATAACTGTGTTCGAAACATGCAAGAGTTATCGGTATTCTAATCTTCTTTTCCAAGAAAAATTATTTATTAATGTTTCAACAATTAAAAAAAGAGACTTAATTGTTCTCATACATTTCTCATATTAAAATAGCCTTTTTATCTCGATGAAAAATTGCCAGAAATGGATCAGATTCATCAAATCCATCTTATTTATTCGTCAAGTCTTTGGATGGAAAATTCCTTACCTTGTTATAGTAGCAAGGATATCTGCTCTGCGCGGTTTTATTATTGCCATCACGGCCGTGGGTGAGAAGAAATTGCCTGCATTCGCCTCTGAGGGTGTTGACGCAACGCTCGAGATTGATGTATAATCGCGAGCTGTTATAGATCGTCAGAGACTTTTGCGCCGGGACATAGGCGTTTGTGGGATCCGTCGGATATTGTAAGCTCCTCCCATAGATTTTTAAGAAACTCGTGAAGTTAATGGACGGTTGGGGAACCTTGATGTCCTTCAGCAAAGTACCGTTCACGCAATCCTCCGTTCTGCGAAGGTAAATGCAGTAGCATTATGTGTATCAATAATTTAGCAGTATCAATTAAATAATGCGTAACACAGGGGTAAGTTTTTGTCTCGATTACTTTTATCAATAGTTTGAGATATTTTTGAAGAATGCTTGTGTTCTTCATTCTTGATTACTATACACTATACAAATATTGTATTGAATGAACACTTGATTCAATAGCTACGGAAGAATGTGATTTAATTGAAAACTTTCTCGGATATGCAATTTATCGAGCGTGAATATTAAACCCGCATTTGAGAATGTAGAAATTAATTAAAAAATAGCATGAATTTTAAATGCGATTATTAAATAAATACTGTAACCCAATAATCAACGCGTAAATCATTTTTAAAGCTTCAAACACCTTTATCTTTGTTAAGTTAGCAACCTTACCATAAAAAATCGGAATAATATACATACATCATTTTATTTTCTAGCGCAATATTTTCATACGTGTATATCTTCATAGTGAAAAAAGAATTTTAAAGCATTTGAATCTAATAAATAAATATCCATAAGTAAGTATTATCTATTACTTATGGACTCCCCAAAATTAATCAATTGTATTTTCAGCCATATATCAAAGCCACTTATTTTTACTACACATAGCATTTCTCCACATTCTTGCTTTCTTACACGACAGTATGGGGTATTTCCATAGCAACCATTGATCCAGCAGCTGGGTTTGTGATTCGCTGTAAAATTTTCGATACTTATCCTCTCGCACTTCATTGACGATTTAAATAAAATTTCAGTTTCTCAGCTGGAATGTAACTGGCGAACGGTAAATTGAATTTGTGGTTGTAAATTTTATCAATACAGATGCATATCTCATAAAAACATATCATAATTTTATCAAACAGAAACATGTATCTTTATATATATTATAAATATTATATTGCGATTATATAATGATAATAATAATAACGAGATAACATTAAACTTTACTTAAAATAAAAAAGGAGAAATTAAGTATAATTTACACTATACTATTCTATTTTTGTTCTGTGGACAAGAAATGTCAAGGTCCGATTGATCAATACTTATGGCAATGCTATAAATGTATAAATCTTTTTTTTTATGAGAGAGAAAATGACAAAAATATTTCTCCTTTCAATTACTGGCCAAAGCTCTAGTGATTTTTACCTATCAGCATCCAATTCGATTCTCCCTTCGTATTTAATATTTAATAAATTTCCTCTCATCTTCCACGTACATTCAAGATACTCAAATATATCAGCAAATTGAAATTTGATATTAATTGCGACATGAAACTTTGTAAGATTGGCATAAAAATTTAACATATAACATTTAAAAAATTGATATTGCACTTATTGAATATAATTATTTGCAATGTATTGTATATAAAATATCGATATCTCTCATTATAATGAAACTTTCTAATCTCATTGATGTTTATGATATTCTATTTTCCAATTAATAATTTAATTAACGAAATTTCAATAGCACAAACTCTTGACGAAAAAATTGGTGTCGTTATAAAATTTTGCTATTCGTTATTACCTAATGACGTGTTCATCGTGCGTAACGGCGAAGCAACTGGCGATGATGCTGCCGTTGTGCTCGTCCCAGATCTTAACGGGCTCGTCCAGTCTGGTACCAGGCAGACTACCGTTTGCTCTGTTCAAGGCCATCCCGCGGGAGCACCTCGCGGAGATGATGTTGTTGTCCTGCATCAGGTAAACGTTGATGTCGCTGGTGGTGATATTTGGGCAGTATCTGTCACAGTGGAAGTGGCTCTTGATCTTCGTGCATCTGGAGTTTTCACAGCTAAAGAAGCCGTTCAGCTTCATATTATCCTTCTCGCTGTCGATGACGATACCGTCAGCCTTAACATGACAGAGCAGCAGCTCGCTCATGTTCGAACAATGCCCGAGGCTGCAGTTGAACACGCCTGTCAAAGTGCTGCACTCGCTGCCGTTGTTGCAGTTGTACTTTTTCATGGTGCTCATGTTTGCCTATTCGACATTTCTCATATTGAATCTCATCATTATGCATTGATTTATCTAATATTTAATTGTATTAATATATTTTGATAGGAATGTAATTTTAAAATTTTAATCTGTCGCAAATGTTGTCCTTAAAAATTATACATACAAAAACTGATGTCTTTAAATCTGAAATGTTTGAAATGCGAGACAAATCGAATCTCGAGTTAATTTTAGTTAAAAGACAAAATCTCTTTCTAAAAGCATATAAAAATAAAGTTTTACTCGAGACCTTCTCTTTGACATTTCATTTTTAATATTCTAACTTCGTTCTCCCATTGCACACAATCGCTAGAGAAGAGAAGTTAATTAGCATTCACGTTTTTTTTTGTTCCAGCGCAGTTACGCGTAATTCTGTTGCGAAATTATCTTTTTAATAGGATGTTCGAGGAACGTCCTGTGTAAAGGATATCGTGCACGTAATTAGGAAAATTAGGACTTGGCTGTTTATAGAAGTTTGTCCGTCAATATGGTTGCAAAAGACTGCGCGGTATACACAAACTATAGTTATCGTCCTTTCTCGTCAACACCGTTAATTAAATCCCATTAGTTTCAGGATGTTTCAGGTCTGTTGGCGAAGCATTAGTGGTCGGCATACAGTATCATGCCATGCGCCTAAATATTCATATTCTTGGTGAGGCACTCCCTCAAGAATAATTCGTACCTCCCTCTCATTTGCTGGGCGTTAGATTGAGATAATGAATACCTATTTTTAGCTAGCTTACGCGCGATAACTTGATACCTTTCGCGAACGCCAACGAACCTTTTTCGGGTCAAATACGTTGAACGAGTTGAAAACAAATCAACAGAACTTGCGACACGCATTTTAATTGTACTCTAAATACAGGTATTCACGGACAATATCATCCCCGTTTAATTAAACTAAGCATTCAAATGCTGCTATAAATAATTCACGAAAACAGAATTACGGTCGTATCATTCTATATATCATCTTCATCCTGATTTAAATTTTATGAATTTCGCAGAGTAATGAACAATATAATTTTGCCCATAAAGTCGTTTGCAAATAACTTTTCTAATCTCGAGAACATTGTTGACGAAAGACTGGTTCTTGATGATGTATTGCTATTGCGACGGTGAAAATTTACGTCATATCGTCCATCTCTGTCGCTTTTGATGAGATCTTCAGCAACAGCTCCAACGGATCGTGTTCATTGAATAATTATATTTAACAACGAGAGAACAGATAGTATATTATTTGTAAGTAGCAAGGGAAAAGAGATTTTTTAAAATTTCTCTTGTAATGCATCATATGCATATCGTATACGCAATAAATGTTCTACTGGTAATTTTTCTTCGTATTACAAGAAGTTTACCCTCTTTCACGGTATGCTGAAAGCATCCGCTCTGCAGACTGTAATCGATGCCCCGCGATGCTTGATGAACCGTTATATAGAGGCGAAGATAAGAATATGAAATGGGGTGGAAATTTTGAAGGGCAAGTTAGAGACAAAAATTAAGTGCAATTTTTTTATCATAGATTTTTTAAAAGAAAAGTGTAAAAAACAGTTTTATTATATATGAATCAAAGAATTGATACATTTATGCAGGAACGAATTTATAGGCGAGATTCTGCAAAATTCGTAAAATTTATAGTACAAAAATATATAATATAATGTGAATACATCCGTTCAAATATTAATTTTTTTTCTTACGAATCGTTCTAGTAGCATTTCAATATTACTATATGTGGACTATCTGATTTTTACGAATAAAATTATATTGAATTTGTATAAATATGAGGATAATATATATAGATAATATGAGGATATATAGATAAAACGCGATCTCTCTCCGTATATGTAAAGGTCGCAAACAATATAGGTATTTTACATTCCTGCCTGTCTCTGTAATTTTGTCGAGATGGTATAACATCGACATTATATTTTAATGATAAATTGCGGGAAATGTCAATGTTATCGAGGATAAAGGAAAACGAGGAATTGGATCTCTAAGGGGTAGTTTCAATGTATAAAGCAGGGTTTGCTGCTACGAGCTTAACACCGTGAATGTTAGGAATTTGTAATAATCATGAAAGTAATTTCTAATAATATAGCGATGCCGTAGTTGAATTTTATTTCAGATGCAATTTAAATTTTCTGCGGTGCTTTTCTTCCCACCCTCGACATTTGACGCGACGAAGAAATTGAAGTCACTATACGTTCTTCGGTAAAACTGTAATATCCCCATGAAATGGAAACGCCTACAGGAAAGTGGCCGTTTGTGTGGGAGCTTACGATCGTATGTCGGTTGGGGAAATGTGCTGTGGAAATAAAGTGATCGAAATCCGAAGGATAAACGTTGGCTTGTTTCTGCCTTCCGAGAAGAACATCTCGTTTTTCTGGTCAAGCGAAAGATGTTTTCGGGAAGATTATGGCAAGTGGCCAGAAAGCGTAATAGCTCGTTATTCTCCGAGAGAAAGATTTGCAAAGGATTTTCAAGTTGATTGCGTAATTATCCGAGATTATAATCGCTCACGTATAGAGAAAGCGATCAAGCACAGGATCGTAAAACTTTAATGTAATATCAGATTTCGTAAATGTTTCCAATCTACGGAAAGTCTGCTAATTATATTTCCTCTCAGTTTTGTTAATTTTAAAATAGCTTCGTAACATTTTCAAGAAAACACAGATTGTTAATTTTAACATTCAAATCAATATTTCTGAATAAACAAATCTGTAAATTAACAATTTCTCTTTTTAACGTATTCGTAATCACCTTTAAAAAAAGGTAAAAAAAGGCGACCAGTTAAGGGCACGCCATTAACAAAAATTATCCATTGCAAACCCATGTACAATAGAATTGTATGAAAAATTATCGATTATAAACCCATGTACAATCGTAACAAAAGTAATGAAATAAAAAAAAAATGCGCCAAGTGAAAGTAGAAACTTGTACCAGTGGAAAATTAAAGTTGCAGACATATATAGAGTCGTATAATGAATCAATAAAAATTTAAATTTGCAAATGTAGAATTGTACCATAAAAAAACTTATCTTTTAAAAAAAAGATAAACAAGATGCCAAGTCCATGCGCCATGTGAAAAAGTGTTAAACAAAAAAGTATTTTTAAGTAAAAAAATCTATCAATTGACAAAAATTTATGTTCTAAAATTAATATCTCTACAAAAAGTAATGTCCAATTATTGCGCGAATAAATAAACATTTTTATAAAAAATTAAAATTTAAAAACTTATGCAAATTTAAAATTAATATAAAATAAAAAGAAATAAAAAAATTTTAGTTAAAAAAACTGGGCGCGCTGCTAAATAATATTCTAATGATATTAAAATTAAATTGTTACTTTTAAACTCATTGCAGCGCGCCCAGTTTTTTTAACTAAAATTTTTTTATTTCTTTTTATTTTATATTAATTTTAAATTTGCATAAGTTTTTAAATTTTAATTTTTTATAAAAATGTTTATTTATTCGCGCAATAATTGGACATTACTTTTTGTAGAGATATTAATTTTAGAACATAAATTTTTGTCAATTGATAGATTTTTTTACTTAAAAATACTTTTTTGTTTAACACTTTTTCACATGGCGCATGGACTTGGCATCTTGTTTATCTTTTTTTTAAAAGATAAGTTTTTTTATGGTACAATTCTACATTTGCAAATTTAAATTTTTATTGATTCATTATACGACTCTATATATGTCTGCAACTTTAATTTTCCACTGGTACAAGTTTCTACTTTCACTTGGCGCAATTTTTTTTTTATTTCATTACTTTTGTTACGATTGTACATGGGTTTATAATCGATAATTTTTCATACAATTCTATTGTACATGGGTTTGCAATGGATAATTTTTGTTAATGGCGTGCCCTTAACTGGTCGCCTTTTTTTACCTTTTTTTAAAGGTGAGTTTTTAGAGATTATATCATTCATTTTTGTATATGATAAGCATCTTTAAATAAATAAGCAAATTCAATTTTTCTGGCATTTTCTTATTTTAGGTACATATATATCCAATAATTAATATACAAAATTAAATATTATTCATCACACAATTTGTATCAAAATAATATATTTTTAAAAATTTATTTTAAATTTATTTAATCATTTTTATCATTGTGATTGTAGTGGCAAGGATTTTATTGCTCAGTGTCATTGCAAGCATCTGGCCTGTATATACCATAATATATTGTGTAATACATTGGCTAAGTATGACAATATGGATTTTGATAGATTCCCATGGAATATTGGAATTTTGTCGGACTTGCAGTCATCCACCACATATGCAGCCTACAATTAAAGAACGCATTTATTCCATATTATTTGCTTCCGTTATTGGCATAGTGCACATTTTTATATATCTCAATGCTGTAGATAGCAAAACATTTTGAAAACATCTATCTTTCTATGTTATCTGCTTTTTTGAAAATATTGCAGCAAATTTATTATGGCAATATGCTTGTCCTCCTGCAGTTAAAGAGGCTTAGTACTTTAATATAATCTTTATTATTTGTATCATTTCCTTTTTCTTGGGAATTACAGCAATGCTTTTGTACTATATTGTCTTGCATCCCTCAAAAAGACAACATACTTCAAACGCACCAGTTCAAGCAATGTAACTTTGATATTTATTTACTTTAAAAAATGAGAGATAAACTATACAATATGCAATTAACCTTATCTTATGACTTTTATAAATCTTATGATAAAATCTAACTCTCTCTTAATCTTTATTATGAAAAGAATCTCGGTATTATATGAAATAATTTCATTGTAATTAATAGTTTAACTTTCAAAAATTTTGCAAAATAAAATAACTCATACATTGTATTTCTACCATATATATAAAAAAAAGATAGGTAAATATAAATAAATAAATATATATTTATGATATACAATAAATAAATATATATTTATATTTATATATATATATATATATATATATAAAATGTTGGATTTTTATTATATATATATAATTTTAAAAAATCTTTTTTATATGCTATTGAATTTTAATACATACAATTTTGATTATATGTATTTTAATTGATTATATTTATAAGTATTTTTATATTATCTTAAAAAGACTGCATAGAATTATTTGTGCGACACTCTTATATGTATGTATAATTAATAGGGACCAACTACACATTTTTTTTCCACTGAATAAAAACAATCTCAATATTAAAATTAAATTATAAAAAAGATACTGTGATATTTTATTGATGAGAAATGTACATTTATAATTGTATTAAATACAAAAATAAACATGCCATGAATTACTATATATACATATTTTCATAATTATCAAACTTAAAAATATAATATTGTTACCAAAGAAGAAAGCACTATTTAAAAACTCTAAAAGTTCATAATTTGTTAAATTAGTAATTAAATACTGCATTTTGTATAATTTTTAAGCTTTATTCTTTTATTTTTCTTTATTTAATTGAATAGATATTAACATCCAATGTAGCATACAGATTAAATTAACAACCAAAAAAATAAATCTTAACTTTGAAATATATTTTTGTTTCTTTTAAATATCAATCAACTGGATTTTGTACTACTATTAATATGAATTCTTTATCTGGTGCCATCATAATTTTATGTTTTTTGCTACGTATGCGCAAGAAAGTTAAATCATTTGTTGGATTCAAGTCACGTACGACAGAACGAGCTTTATCTGACAATTGACTTATCAAACCTGCGTATTGAACTGTTGTCGTATTATCTAATGTTGACTTTATAGGAATACCTAAAACAAATATAATTTTATAAATTTTTGTTTACAACTACAAGTAAATCATGTCAATGATCTCATGTAATACCTTCTGCATTCACCACTATTGTTCCAACTACCCTTTTATGAGACTGAATTTGTTTCATAGTTTCTTCAACCTCTTATAAATTATTTCATCGAAATTTATTAATAAAATTTTTATTTTAAATATTCCAATAACGGAAGCAAATCATATGGAATAAATGCGTTCTTTAATTGTAGGCTGCATATGTGGTGGATGACTGTAAGTCCGACAAAATTCCAATATTCCATGGGAATCTATCAAAATCTATATTGTCATACTTAGCCAATGTATTACACAATATATTATGGTATATACAGGCCAGATGCTTGCAATGACACTGAGCAATAAGATCCTTGCCACTACAATCACAATGATAAAAATGATTAAATAAATTTAAAATAAATTTTAAAAAATATATTATTTTGATACAAAGTGTGTGATGAATAATATTTAATTTTGTATATTAATTATTGGATATATATGTACCTGCAATAAGAAAATGCCAGAAAAATTGTAAAATAGTTCCTATAGCACTGATATTAGATTTATCTTGTTAAGCTAATCGAATGCTGCGATGATAACTAGCCATTGCCCAACCCATGCTCACAAGTGAGCTGATAATGCTACCTGCTTGATGTACAACTGAAAAAAATATAGAAGCTAATTAAGAAAATTATTAAAAATATATGCATACTCATACATAGGCATTTATATAATTGAAATATTATTGAAATAATAGCAAAATATCTGATTTTGTATCACAGACTGTAAACTTGCACATAAATTATTATGACAATAAATTTGCAAATAATAACATTAAAATTGAATGTAAAAATTGAAATTGAAAATTGAAATTGAAAATATCTAACCCCGCACGCTGTCAATATAGCGGAGGGCAACTATCGCCGTCTGTTGTAAAACGTGCGAGATGGACATTTCCAATACATGCATCTATTCATGTGTTGTGTACGTGTGATATATGTGTGCGCATGTGTTGTATACGTGTGAATACGTGTAGCACGATACTACTATGTTTGCGTGGTCGATGATGATAATAATGATGACGGGGACGTTTCTTAAAAGAAATTTTTCATATTTCGACTTTGCAATTATATATCTCTGCTTACAAATCACGTAGAGCAGAAATAAAGACACTTTTATTATATAATTCAAACTCAATCTATCGATTAAGTCTAGTATAAACTCGATTGCTTCAGCCGTTATTGAGAATTCGAAATATTATAAAGACTCAAATGTCCGACTCGCGTTAAGATACACGGTGTCTCGGCTACGCCCTTAACTGGTCGCGAGACACTACTGTGTCCCTTGATTCTTGATGTAAAAAAACAAACGCATTAAATTAAATTAACAGTCAAATAAATGATAAAATAAACAAATTTAATTGAACAATTTTTCTCTTTCAAATAGCACACTCGTTATTTCCGATTTATTTTCAAAAAAAATGAATAAAAAATTCTAAATCTTCATATTCTTACATCCCTATGGACAATATTTTGGATACAATTGATATAAAAAAATATTTTAGAACAAAATGCTCTTTTGTATCACATATACTCAAAGAGTTTTTTTTAGAGTTTTTTAAAATTTATAAATTTCGTATTTTGATTATTCTTCCCACACATTTGACAAGTGTTTTTTTTATATACACCTGAATTTTCTCTAAAAATACTTTGTACTTGAAATGCATATTTACTCAGCGTTGGACTCTGTACACACATGACTGTACTACACAGCTTCCAAAGGGAAATAACGTTACGATGTACCATTGCTCTACGCACCTCAGGGCATGCGATTGTATTAAACTTGGTGCAGTTTTCGAAAAGCACGTCGGTGCCGTTGCGTCTTACGGTCGCGTGAAGCTGAGCACAATAGCCGCTGGTTTTTGTCAAGCACCATTCGCCGCAACTCGCCCAGCCGCAATTGTTCACCATCGTGGCATTAACGGTTTGGCACATCACCGGATCCGGCTCGATGCCGATGTGAAAGGCTCTAAAATTAATTATGGCCGACGTCGTTAACGCGACATGAATGCGATCTCGTAGAAACAAACCATTTATAACCAACATTTTATAGCTCTATCACGAGACAAAATTGTTGAGAGGAGAAAATAAGGTAATTTAACTCGAATAACTCTCCTCATTGTGAATAGCGCTACTTCTGCGGAGACTTGGCGGAAAAATAAATCTTGCAGGTTGAAGTAATCGGAAACTATTAGTCTGCCAGTTAAAGATTGGAAAAATTGGAATTTATATTTAGTTGTAATAGAAATGCAAATTTTTAACGTCAATTAGGAATTACGTGGTTCCTTACCTATACGATGGTGCGTAAATCGCCACCCCGAGGTAGACCAAGGCCACACAACTGATGACAAAGGTAAACTGGAAGAAGCAGATGCTGCCGCAGATCCTGCGGTCCTGTTCCGGTATCATACGACGTTTCTGTTTTCGACCCATCGCGTGATGCTTCGCGATTTCGATTTACCGATACTTCTGTTCCCGTTTTATCAATATCTCTCTATTGGATTTTTTCCAATTTCTTCAATTTGCGTAAATTTTAATCCCTCGAAAGAGCGAGCGTTCCCGATACCAACGCGAACTCGTTAAAGAATTATTTCATCTATCGAAGTTGATCTTTATCCTCTTGTCGATCTTATCCTCTTAACGAAAATTAATTCTTCTCTCTTTGAAATTGATAATCTTCATAAAGTCGAGTGTCGCGTATATTATGTTTTGCCTTCTCTTTCTGCAAGCACATGATATAAAAAGCCCGGCGACTTCATGTCGACATTTCATTACTATCGTAGAGCAAGCGACTATAGTAGCTTCGTAAAAGTTTAACCGCCGTCTCGCCCGAAGAGAACAACAAGTCGAGAGATCAGTGGACGACTGTACTCGTTTCGTAGAAAGAATCGATCGTTCCTAGCAGTTCCATTCTCTTTTTTTTTTGTTATCGCAACAAAATATTATCCGATAAAAATGCAGCGCGTGCAAAATATTTCGTATTATATATGGATCTCCGTTTTATTTTTCCTGCACTAACTCCGTTTGGAGAGAGCGAAGTCGGTCGACAAGTGCGTATGTATGTGTCACGATTCCTCTATCGATTAAATGATTTCGCTGCCGTCCCCTTACGAGCACAAATATGCGTCACAACGCACGATCATCATGTCATTTCGTCATAAAGTGCGTCCTTGAGGTGATCCTTGAAACCTTCAAGCTTATAATTTTCCGATTCTCCGGAAACGATGAAAATTGTTAGCGCTGATAAAAAAAATCGTTGATATCCAGCATCAAATCAGATTCCTTGATTCTTGGAAGTTAATTAATTTCGTTTCTAATATATTGCCGATTCCGCATAAAACCGCTATAAATTCGTCTTACGCGACTAATCAGACACGTGACTCACAATTCTATCGAATCCGTGGAAGGTCGCTCCACTTTTTTCGACTGGGATGACCTACGTTGATTTAAGCTGGCGCGATTAGCCGTTCGTCGATAGATAGAGATAGGTGTAGAAACGTATAACATCGAAGAGGCCTCCTTCCATGTTTACACTGCAAGGATCCACCCTATTTTTTCGTTGGACACATTTGATCTGCCCGATGCACTTAGGACAATTACCAGGACAATTAACTTCATTAGCCGCGAGTATAGATATCGTGCAATTATGCATCGATTAATTTTATTACCGCGAGCGATTAATCGCTTGATGATCTTTACAAAAAGGAAAGGGCGTTATCGATTCCAGATTTCTGCGTTTGCCATCGCACATGGCATCGTTAATATTTCATCTCTAGCGTTCTTTATATCGTCGTCGCGTTCTCGCTGGCATACTGCCGATTTGAAATTAAGATACGGATGCTTTAAACTGATGCACGCACATTTCTGAAATTGATAGGTCTCCACATGCTTCTTTCTTTAAGTAAACTTTCCTTTGCTATCGTTAAAGTGGTTAAAGTAACGTCAACATTATTATTCACATTCGAGAAAGAGGTTCGTTTCTGCGTTTTTCATAAAGAGAAAATCGATCTCTGGGTGTAAGTGAGAAAGAGAGATGCTTGTCTGGAGGACATCCACGATAGTACGATGAAGTCCTTAATGGTTGTGTGAGTAACCTTGAATGAAACGATTATCTTGCCGATAATACCTTTGAAATTCTTGTTCCTAGAACGTCATTTTTCAAACAATAGGCATGCTATTTAACTGCGTTTGTCATTTTTCCCTTAAGACATCATTACAATTATTATATATGTATGAATAATTATGTATTCATTGCGTGCATATCTTTATTATACAATCTTCCGAACCATTTTTCATTATATTAATTATTTTGAGCTTTTCTTTCCTTTACAAAACAATTATAGACAGCGACAGAAATAATTAGAAAATATAATTTTTGCAGAATTATTGTTCGTTGATCGGGATTTTTCGGAAGAAATTCGGTTTCTTCCGAAAATTCTGCGAGATCTGTAACATTTTGCAATGTTCATTGTCTGACTAAACGCAGGTACTTACTACTCGTACGAAACGCAACGAATTTCTAATAAAATCAAAACTGCTTTACCTTTGAGCTTGTTGAATGTTTCAAAGGCATCAACTTTTTCAAGAAAGTTTTTCGCTCGATCATTGATTTAAAGCAGATAATACTAGATGTGCTTTCTTCTTCTTGTACAAGAAGATGAGAATTCGTTTACAAAATTTCGACAATTTTTACCTTGTGATTAAGAAATGCAATCAAAAAGATTTGCTGTAATTTATTGGTGTTTTTATTATGTATCTTCGTAAAATGTTCCAAAAATTTTTATATATTTCGAAACTTCATTTGATGAATTTTTCATAGATCAGGATAAAAAAACGAATCCACGATATTTCCTCTCTGATTTACCGTCGAGACAATAACGTATATCATTTTTTTTTTATTCACTTCACATTTCACTACACTTTGTTAATAATAATTGCACAGTAATGTTCGATCGCAAGAACAAATCGTGTCATTTAATCGTGAGAATGAATTTCACGTGTGCGCGATTAATATGCGGTTTCGGTCATCGAAGTCTGATCTTACAAGTATTTCCGGCCACGATCTCTTCGTCGAAATTTTTTCATCTTGAAGAAGGGAGTCGTGTTCACGCGTACACACACGAAGTAGCCATGCGATCAACCAGCTTCGACGACTGTTTGAAAACAAGTCTGCCAGTCGGTGGTGCGACTCGCAAGCTCTCTCGCACGGAGCTTGCGCCGTGGTATATCGCACTTTTCATGGGGGTGGAAATCTCTTTCATGGTGGAATGCCCGAATAAAACGTCGAACCGCAAGTTCATGGACTTATGTGATAGGATGAATCGCGAATCTTCTGGAAAAAGTATATAGTTGCTTACGATGAAAAAAGCTCCATAAAACTTAGCAATCTTTATTTTATATCTATTTTAAATCTATTTTACAATACTAAAGAAGGATTTAATTATATTTAAAGTAATTTAGTATATGTACATATACAATATGTCAAATTTTTTAGAAACATTATTATGCGATTACGCTTAAAGTCACATATGTACTCTTCTATAATTTCTTGTTTAAAATCAAAGGAAAGCTATTTATTTTTTTATTATATAATGATATATTATGTAACGATTGATATTTATCATTTTTTACATGCATCATTTAACTTTCTATTTATATAATATAATATTATTCGTTTCGTTTAGATTATCTTATTTTATGATCAAACCTATATCTGTAAAAAGATCAGCAAATGGAAAACACAAATAATATCTTATATTTTGAAATGTGAAACCATTTATCGCATGTCATAAATTATAAGTATAGTGCTTCATGGAACACAAAGTCAGTCGGTATCTGTTTTATCGATTTAGATTCATCCCCTCGATATTAGCTCAGAAGGGCGGAGTGTCAGTTCTGCTGGATTAGCAACTATGACCTTGAGAGCAAAAGGTCAAATGTCTTCGTTTAGTGCTAGGTAATCGTTGTATAATACTGTGTAAGGATTTTCCATGTAATATGTAGTTGAACTATATATATAACAAGACTGAATTTTTTTATTTGTCATTAAATTTCTCTGAAACTATTTTGTTAACTATTCTTTTAAATAATTTTGTTTCTAAATAGTATCGTAATTTAAATAAAAATATGTATATGCACATATTTATATATTACTTACACATTTTTAAAAAGTAAATACATTTTAAAAGTAAAAATTTTAAATGTACTACGAAAAATGCCAAAAAAAAAAATATGGATAATATATAAATTATTGATATATAAAATATATATTTTTTAATAATTTAATTAATTCAATTTACTGACAGATAAAAGTTTGTTTAAAATTTGTTTAAACCTCTCAGAAAATGGAATCTCGGAGAAATGATTACGAATAGAAAAAAATCGGCGTTATTAACAGAAAACGATATTTTTATATATTTTAAACGAAGTCGTACAATCTTTTATTTACAATAGTCCGTTTGTATCGCAGAACGAGCGATTTATATATACCGTATGTATATATAATATATATGTATTATGTACAATATATATATTTATATATATTTATGATACAGTTACGCGTATGAAGCAGTGAACGATTTGAAAACTTTCGAGTAGAGAGAAAGGAAGCATTACGAAGAAATATATATATATATGTGTATATATACATATATATACATATATATTTGTTCATTTATATATTATAGATCATTTTTGCGTATAAGAAAAAAGAGAGAGAAAGAGGGAAATAATGTCGGCATGATATACATGTCCAGCTGTAGTAAGTGCGAGTACTATTACAGTAGTCAAATAACATCATCATATTACGAGAGGACATATAATATGTAAAGTTAATTATCGTATAATGTTTGCATGCACACGCATTTTCGAATCGATCAAAGACAAATAGCACTTGATCGGCTCGATCGTTACTTTCAGATCGAATGTAATAGCTAGATCGTGTATGGAAATAGAATTTGTAATATCTCGTTTTATTATATTATTCAACTCGTGCTCGATTATATTATTTGTCAGTTAAAATCGCTTGAATAATTTTTACGCTACATTTCACCCTTGCATATCATCTCAATACATTAGAATTTGTTCACCTATCTAAGGAGGAATCTCAAACAAATATTTGCACTTTAAACCTTTTCGCGATAAAATAAACTTTCTATTTATATTTTCTAAAATTGTATTGTACAGATTAAACATATTATGCTCAAAATACTTTCATGTTAAATATATGTGCGCTATTATTTTTCTTTTTATATTTAAACAGTTTCGAATCGTTTTTAATTTTTGTATTTTTTTTTATTTAAGATAAATTGGAGAATCTATTTATTCGAATACTGGAAGATGAAGAAAATTTTAGAGGTTTCATAATTTTAAATTCTTTGTAGATTGCCATGTTTAAGCAATTGAATGAAAAGAGCCCTATCCGCTTGAGATCCCCAGTCTATGATACATAATATTCTCTCGCATTACTCTATAAAAATGCCGCCTACGACGATTGCAATCGGCTAGTCGAGCTAGCGACTTTAATTGGCACTAAAACCGATACGTGATGCGAGAGTTATATATATGGCTATACGCGAATCACCGAGATTTCTAGATTGTCCGCGTAAAAGCTTTCCTGGTATTTCGCTCGAAAGCTTGAATCTTAATATCACACAAGAGTTCTAATTCTAACCGAAAATCATAATCTTGCGATGACTCGACGGCAAACTAGATATTGCAATTGTTGCGTTTTGCGAAAAGCGTATTACACAAATAAATTTGATTTGCACCGTCGTTTCGTTGATTGTGAGCATCTTTGAGCAAGATTCGTCGCAAAAAGGAATGCATGAGAAGACAAGCAGAGAAATTTTGACTTGTATTTCGATGCTCCAATGGTGTTTTTCGAACGCAATATTCATCTAAAATGTGATTTTTAATTTTGATTTCTTTTTAATATATGTTACATCAAAATGTTAAATTTAATCACACGCGTGATTAAAATTGTCCAAATTGTCTGACAAGAAAGAGAATTGAATCAGAATGCAATATTGCATAGTAAATAACGAGATAAAAATCGATAAATATCCGCGATTCGTCGACGATCAGATGATCTGTCGTAATGGAAATTGGACTAGCAAGCTTCAAATGGGGAATGAGTGCCAAAACGCAGGTTCCACGGGAAGCTGCTGCCTCGCGGGAGCAACTTCTAACGTCAAGGATACCTGAGAGTAAGGCCGAGTAAGGATTCACAACCATACTAGATGTAAAGGGTCACGACACAGTTTCCATAAGAAACAGCTTAGAAACAAACGTTATTCAAATTTATCGTATTTTTCAAAATAATCGAAGAATTCTATAAAATCAAAAACATTTCAAAAAATATATATTAATTAATTTTACATTACTTTATATGTCTTCCCACCTGAATTGTGCTTTAGTAACATCATCAGAATAAAAATAACTAATTATCTATATTATTTAAATAAATTTTTAATTATTAAACAAATCGTGAAGAAAATTCGACAATGAACAACGTCGTTTCATAGCTTATGGAGAACGTAGGTCGCATTTCCTCTTTTGAACGATCAAATTAAAAATTCTTTTATATCTTTATATGCGACTATAAACTATGCGCACAATACATACCAGCGTTCTCAAGTGAAGTTTTATGCATTAATTATATATGTTTAATGCGCGCGTATATATTCTCTCTTTCATATATTTATATATCTTTTCTCTAACTAGAATCCACGACGTGACTTGCGTCCGCGTACAAAAATCGTAACAACTCTTATATTCGATTTCGCGATTGTATTACGATCGGTAATATTCACAGACTTAACTTACGGTCTAGTCTTAATTTACGTTTCTTGGTGCGGAAGCGGATTTTGAAAACGAATCGCGTCACTTGCTTCACGCTTTTTTTCTCATCGTATGCATTCACAAGTTCCATTTGTATCATTTCTCAATATGATAATTGCTTTCCTCTGATATAGAAAGTCTCTATGTAGAATGTACATCATAATTTTATTTTTTTTTTCTATATTATGAGATAAAATTTCTTTTTCCATTTTTAAAATACATCTCGTTTATGCATCTCTGCAATCGAGGATTGGAAAATATATACGAAAGCAGTCATCGCTTGTCTATTTGCGAAAACGATCGCGCAATAGGAAGAAATCTATGTGTAATAATTCGACTGGAAAGTGTGAGAAAGGGATACAATGAAATAATAATTTCGAAGACGATAGTGATTTAGTGACAGCGAGTAACGCGATTAGCCCGATAAGGGTCCGCATTGGAATCCGTTTCTTCGTGAATTGCGCCGAGCCGCGAGCTCGCACTGCTTCCATCGATACTTCACGAAAGGGCAGCTTACGTGACTTTAGTCGTAAATTCACGGCCGTATAACTTAGTTCTAAACTCGATGCTGCTGCTGTAAAAAACCTAAAATCTGTGCCGTTTAAAAACTATATATCCTCTTGTTTGAATTATCATGTAAATATTGCAGGAAGGCGCGCCTCTATCACGATTAAGCTCGAAACACATGAAAGCTCATTGATTTCTACAAAATTTCCGAATATCAGCACGCTGCGAATAATTTGTTGAATAATTTAACAGACATTTGCGTTTCGCATGAACGCGAATTAGCATTTTCGATATCGGTATCAATTATTATCAATATTAAATTAAAATTTGCATTGCAATATTCCCTTTTTATTTTTAATTAATGCATTATAACACTTCCATATGTTTCGAACCATATACCTCGTCGAATACTGATAGATAATTGAAAAGTCCGTGCTCTCACATATCCACGGCCTACTTTACATCATAAATTTAAGGTCTAATCTTCGCAAAGTCTCGCGCGAGCGATTCTTTACGAATGATAGTCTCCGATTAGTGATTTTGCTAATTTTTATTTATGTTAATCCGACATTATTTTTATATAGAATAAGTGCATAAACTAATTTCAGTGCACGATTGTAATGTCGAGAGAAGAGAGAAAGAGAGAGAAAGAGAGAAATATTTTTATATATCACTGGTGTAAACCTAGGCGCATGTTTCATTTATTGAAAGCATGATCCAGGATAGATTTATAGAACAAAGTAAGTCGGATGTTAGCGTTAGAAGCAAGAATTTGAAGTGAAACTCGTGAGAAGCGATAACGAGAGACTCATTTGCCCGCTCTTCGCAAAAATTCTTTTCTAAAAAAAATCGCTACTCTCGATCGCTTAAATTTATAAGGTAAAGTACGCTGGAGCCATTCGGAGATTATTTCGCTGGCATCACTCCCGCGCTGGGGGGTGAGCCCTTGGTAGCAGTCAGTATTCCTCTTCGTCTTCCTCGAACTCGTCCTCTGCCAAGATGCTGCAAAAAGCGGAGAGTCAGAACGATATTGCGAAAAGGGAAAAAAAATAAAAGTCACGTAAAATTACTTTGACAATTAAATCCTATAAATCATAAAATATTTGAGTGTCAAAAATATGGAAAAAAATTTGAGAAATATAATCTCTTTTAAATTGATATAATTCAAAAGAATAAGAAATATATATGCAGGCTGTATCTAAATAAATGAGAAAAATTTTAGGAGATGATTCTTCATCGAAAATTAAGGAGATTTCTTATATAAACACGTACTCTTATATCCCTCCCTGAGGAGTTACACTTTTCTAAAGAGTAAATATTTGGTTTTTATATTTTTTCTCAAATTTCAGACAAATTAAAACAATGAAACTTGGTAGATATTTTCTATTTTATTTTTTTCTCTCAGGTAGAGATATAAGGGTATATATTTATCCAAGAAACTCCCTTTAATTTTCGACAAAGAATTATCTCCTAAAATTTTTCGCACTTATTTAGATACAGCCTGTATAATATATTTAAGAAATTTGAATGCTTGATATTTTTGATTTATAGCGTTCGATTGTCGCCCACCTAAAACGTGAAAAAAATTCTGACAAAAAATAGGATTTCTGCTAACTGCCGATCGGGTGCTACATACATACACTTACTCTTCCTTTCTAGCATACTTGTCGATGAGGTTGCGACCTGGACCACCACAGGTTTTGCCCATCGGTGGACAATACCAGTAGCATAACACGCCGAGAGTCGCGGCGAAGAGCACTATGGGCACGATCAAGGCCAAGACCAAGTGCCTGAGATTTTGATCCCACGAATATCTGCGGATATAAGACAGCACGTTACACTTTAAATGAAAAATCGATACAGAGAAGCTCGCTGAAAATGATACCATGATGAGTTTGAATTTCCACATTATTTGATCGATCGTACCTCGCAACAACCGTTTCTGGATGCGTTCTGCTGTAGTAGCAGGGAAATATCTTTCCCATATTCGCATAGGCGTATTTCTTCGCGAAAGCGGAACAGTTGACCGTAGGCGGGTAACCGCAACCTTCCGTGTTGACGAAGAATTCGGTGTCGGCGACATCCCACGGCACCGAGCCCGAGGGTTTCGCTATGAACTCTTCGTACGGGAGTCTGGTGTAGTTGACTTTAATCTGATGACAACGAATCGCGGCACTGGTGCAACCTACAGCGACAACACATCGATATTATAATACATTTGGATGCGAAGAAATGAGATTCCGAAGATGAGATCTCAGACTCACCTTCCCTGCAACTCGCCCACGAGCAGTTCTTCAGGCCCTCCGCGTAAACGTGACTCGTCGTGACGCAGGCAACCGCGTGCGGCGAAAAATCCGCCAGGATGGTGGATATCGCCGGCTCGACGACGAACGGTATCAGAAACAGGAAGGCGAAGACCGCGAGGATCGCCGTGGTGCCCATGCAGACGGAAGTGTAAAACTTGGCCTTCTCGATCATGGCACCGATCTTGGACTCCTCCACCTGGACGCCCATTATCACCGTCGACTCGTCAGACTCCATGGTGGCGGCCTTTTGTGGGCCACGTGGGCCCTACTCGTGACACTTGAAAATACTCGGGAAAATGCGGACAGCCACGATTCACGTGGCAGATGGAAACGTGCGTTGGATCAACGTGTTTTATAGTCTTACCGCATCTTGATTCGCACCATGAGTTTTGCTTGTCCGGCTACAGCGATAATGGAAATAATTTTCCTCGATTCTCTGATAACGAAAGATATAGGAATGTTATATCTGCAACGCGGACTAATCAAGTGATCTGCGGTGCTGAAGAGAATAGAGACTTAAGACGCAAATATATGAAAGATTGAACAGATGTAAACTCTAATGAAGTATGGTGTAATCAAATAACGGATTAATCAGAAGTAAAAGTCAATTTTAATTTGAATAAAGAAGTGTAGGAGTTATAAATATAAAAATTACGTCGACTTGAAAAATTCTCTAAGCTTTGAATATAATTCTTGATATGGAGAAGGTCTTCGAGCTTATGTAGGCCGTCGATATTTCTTTAGATCGCTCGTGTATCTATTTGTGTATATTCTTAATGATTACGATGAGTAGAATAATTAAGTAAGCAAGTTAATCGAGAGCTCGTCTCGAGTCGATCATCCATCGGCAAGGCGCGTCTCTTTTATTGTTGTTAATCACTCTTGGCTACTGATCACTGGCAAATCAATCAGAAAAGGGGAACCTCTTAAAAAACTACAAATGTGTCGTGTGTGAAAGATGTCAAAACTCGAGTAAATCTCCTCGTTACTTTGGTGATTACGTCCTTTTCAACGAGAGAATCGTGCTGAGTTATACGTTCGATGTCGTGATGTCGTCTCTTCATGTCACATAAGCATGCATGTGCGTTCTTCCAAATATTTGGTGCAGGCAGTGCGAGTAGATAAATTCTTCTTCTTGATCTTTTGGTACTCTTTGTTGTTTAATCGTTTCTCCGTTCGTTTCGCTTAGGTTTCTTGATATCTTTGCAGGAATGTGCACGTGTGGCTTTTTTGTTTTATTAAGTTGCAAGATGAGAATTTTTTGATCACGCGTTCCCCCCCTCCCCACACCTCAGTAATGCCCGCGCAGGGAGAATATCGACTGACGAGCCGGACTCTCCTCCAGGAGGGGAATGCCTGTTAACACAACATTAGACAAATATATGTATTGCATAATTGCAATCAAAAGCACCGTAATTGTCTATCTATCGAGGAACAATTTGCAGATTTCTCGTCCCGATTTTATATAATCTTTTGATCTTTCGACTTTGTAGAATAGCTCGATATTAAAGGAGAACACGCGTGAGCTCTTCACATATTTTATAATGCAGCTTTCAACTTTAATAAATAGCAACAATATATTAATTTAAGAGTTAAATTGAAATATCATAATAGCAAATGTATTTAAGGTGCCATGACAGATTTGAACACCTCTATAATTATTTTGTTGTTAATATCCTAAGATTTATATTCAAGATTGTTTTTATATATTAGAATATATATATCGAGTTAAATATTAAAGAGAAAAAATACATGTCTCTTAATTTGCAAAATTCTACAAAAAATCCAAGAGCTCATATCATTTTTCCTTAGTATCAAAAGATTAAAGAAAATATTTTATAATAATGCAACATTGGAAAAAAAGAATTCAACATACTTATTCTTTAGGTCTACAATTTATATTTTATTAAAATTACAGATTCTCTTTATATCATGCCATGCTATATATATTATATACACATGTGTAGATTTAGATTTATAAACTAAGAGAAATTGTCTACAATGACAAATTATTAATTATAATGTAAAAATAATGATATTACTATACGACAATCGCAAAATGATTATACTTTGAATTTTCGATCGAATGAGAAAGAGACGTGATTATCAGCTATATAAAACTTGAAAGCCTCCTTTTCAGCTCCGAAAGTGAAACTTTTTCTTACGTGACGGATCTCAGAGCGCCATAACAGAATCTCCTCCGCCAGCATCCCCTAAGTTACCCGACGCGCTCCTCTCTATCGAGACCAGCGTGCCGGGCTTGCCCTTGAACCTCATTTTAGCGTCGTCCCCGACGACGACTGTCCTCTGACAGAAGATCAGAGTCAGACAGCTGACGACAAACAGGATACTCGGCACGATTAGGGCGGCCAAGAACTCTTTATAAGTCGCTTCGAGGTTGAAGCGAGACACGACTACGTCCGTGTTGTCCTCCGCGTAGTAACACGGGAATCTAGCACGGGCGTTATGATCGGAACCGTCCTTCCCGTACTCGTGGAGAAACTCCTTGCACTCGTCCCGAAGCGTGTTCACGCATCCCTCGAGGTTAATGAGCAATCTGCTCTCGTTCGCGATGATCAAGGTGTGTTCCGGCGGCGCGACTAGCTTGTTGACGTCCAGCGGTTTCGTGGCGTATAAATTTAGGTAGGACAGGTACGTGAAGTTGGTCAAATCGGTCAGTAGATCCTTCTCCAGCACGGAACCGTTGATACAATCCACGGCCTCCACACCCTGCGTGGAATTGAAGATCCCGTAACAGGATGCCATCATGACGTCGCCGCGATCCTCGTGCCAGATCTCTCGATTACTCTCCACGTCTATCGCGCGCTCGCACTGGCTCAGGTACACCTTGTCGCCGCTCAGCAGGATCATATTCTTGTTCCTGGTCGGGATGTCGACGCACCTGCGATCGCAATTGTACGGGGTACGTATGCGCTCGCAGGTGCCGCGATTACAGTTATACAGACCGTCTATGTCGATGCAAGTGATTTTGCCGCGACGCCCGGAACACTTGAGGGGCGGATCCGTGTCATGGAACATGCACTCGAATGCGTCGGTGATGTTGATGCAGGTGCCCATGGTGCAGTTGAAGGTGCCGGTTAGATTGCGGCACTCGTCCGCGATGCACTTGGACCGTTTCGCGTTCTCCTGATCGATACCGTAGCACGTTTTGTTCGTCGTGTTCGTACAGTTCGCCAGTAGGATCGTCGAGCCGTTCCTACGTAGATTCACGTGAATCTGCACGCACGGCCCGGACGTCTTGGACAGACACCACTCGCCGCAGCTGCCCCAGTCGCAATTGTCGGCGTTCACCGCGCGAATCGTTGTGCACATCGCGGGGACCTCGCTGATGCCCGATTGAAACGCCCGTCCCGAAGGCATGTAGATCGCGACTGTCAGGTACACCAGCGCGACCGAGGACAACACCATCGTCATCTGGCAGATGCAAATCGTGCCGCAGATGCGGCCATCCTGCGGCGGTATCACCAGGTTCTCCACCGGGACCGGCTTCGGCATCCTGCTCCGGTTGAATATTGATTAATTCGATCAATCGATTTCACGCGCGATTCTTCATCTTACACGGGCGCAAAAGACGTGTTATTGCGTCTAGTTTATTGCGTCGAATTCGCTACTTTATATTCGCTCGAGGTTGAAGTAAAGTCGTCGATGATTTAATATCTGCTTATGGAGTTTATAAATCAGTCGGAGATTCTTGATATTTTGCTTCAGCATTCGTAAACATGGCGATTCGAGTTCTCTAGCATTCTGATAAGATACGACGAATAAAAATCTTCAAATCGTACATATCATTTATTTGTTTCGAGCTGTTATGTAAGTTGGAAACTCTTATCGCTCGATATAAGACCCGTTTCTCACGGAAGTTTCTGGACGGAGAATGAAAATTACCTTAAGGGAGACAGCTTTCTTCCTCAATCGGGGCGGATTTCTCAGAGAATTTCAACCACCAAGAGCGGCCAAGAGTGGTTGTACTTCCTGCCCGCACTGGGTTTCTACATCTTGCAGACTTTAACTATATAAAACCGCTCACGTCGTCGCAGCATTTCGTTGTTACATCGCAAGCGGAGCTTCGAACTTTGAAAGATACGTGTTAGCACTTAGCACTGACTTCTGCCTTTCTCCTGGAGAATCCCGAGGTCATCGAAGCCCGCCCTATCTACGTAGAGCGCACGTTTGCATCATCGGTTTCACGTCAGAGTTCCACACGCAAGGGAAGTCTCTCCTTTTTACCGCAGGACGAGTCCACCAGCCGCGCGCATATTCTATCCTGGTCCTCGTGTGATGTGGCACCCTCACGGAGAGGGTTGCATCGATCGGCGTCGCAGTCCGCGACTGCGCGTCGTCGAACTGCAACGTGCGCTGACGCTTACCGCAGTTGACGTCATTGTACGCCGCGAAGACGCCTAAAGGGCAGGATGATGCGGAATGATCTTCAGAGACATCGCCTGTATTTTTCCAACTTTTTTTTTGGCACGTCAAATTCGTTCCGACGAATTTTCGGAGCGAAACAGCGACGTTTGTTATTTTTTCTTTGTTGTAAAATATTCATATCTCAGTTTGCGAGAGCACTCGAATAAAATTTCAAATTTGAGGCTCCTGAATTAAGTATTGGACTGATGATCGGCGTTATTTATTTATTTATTTTTTTTCGGAGAAAGTTTCTCCGAAGCAATCGCGATAAAATCGTAAAGAAACTGTAGCAGGAAAATAAAGTAGGCTAAAGCGAAATATATATCAGAGTTGAAAATGTAGTAATTCTCAGTTGTTTTTGATACAGATGTGAAATTAAGTGTACATATGCATTGCGGTTGACGGTCTATGTAAAGTTCCTCAACTAGGTCGACAACCATCCAGGAGCTCGATTAAAATAATCGGCGATTCCATAGCAGGCAGCATAACTTTTTCATTCTTCGTATTTTCAATTGTAATTCGAGAGACAGCTGTGACATTATACGAGAATCGATTTATTAGTCTCTTCGATATTTGATTTCGCAGATCAATTCTGAGAACAAATTCCGACGGACATTTAAAGAAGCCCACGTTAGGACTGGTGCGCCAGTCGTAAACTTTTATATAAGTCTATATATCTTCTCTAATATATCGGAATATACGTTTTCTCTAAGAATCCCATAAAACGTTTTATATAACTCCGAAATATAAATGTACAATCTCATGTACTCTCGTGCACATATATATTTCTGACTTCTCCATGTTACTGGAATTTCAATGATCCTTTCAATAAACAAGAACTATTTGATCTTCCTCGATGAATAAAAAAAATTCATGACACAAAATTCCTTTCCAAGAACGAGGCAACCACGTCTCTTTCTTCATTCCGCTATGCAAAACGAACCTGTGTCGTGATATCGTGACACAGTTTCGCTAATGACCTTCGCGACATGTAAAGTTTGACTGGAAAGAGAAGGACAGAACGAGAGAAGGAGGACGCTATGAGAAAGTGCGAGAAAGCGAAGGAAAATAAGGTTTACCGCGTTCTCGCATGTAATGTAACATAATTTTATCGAGCGCTAAGCTCTCAGACGGTGTGGCGCCTCCAGTTTTATGCGGCTTTCCACAAACGCGCGTCCATCTCTCGCCTATCGTTTACCGCATCGGTGCACGCAAGTCGAATCTAGCGCGCATATCAACATCAATATTTCGTATCGATCAGCACGAGAATATATACGGGCGATCTCTGCAGTAACTGAGTTATCTGTGCTCTTTGTGTGTGAGGCAAATTAAATCTGTACAGGGTGTTTCTAAAACTGTGTCAGAGATTTTAAGAGCAATCTTAAAAATGGGTGAAAACATTGAAAAATATATTACAGCTTTCGAAGACTTTTTCACAGAGAGAGAAAGACTTTTTCGATTTTTCCCCAACTTTAGAGAATTATAACTCGGAGAGAAAGCATTTTTGGATCCATGTTTTATACAAACTTCTTTTATTTAACATTGAAAAATATATTATAGCTTTCGGAGACTTTTTCACAGAGAGAGAAAGACTTTTTCGATTTTTTCCCAACTTTAGAGAGTTATAACTCGGAGAGAAAGCATTTTTGGACCCATGTTTTATACAAACTTCTTTTATACTTGATTTCTTTTATATTTGACTTCTAGAATACACCTTAAGATCTCTAATTTTAAAAACACCCTGTATATTTAAATAAATTATTATCTGCGTGCAATAATTAAGTTAGTGATGGCGAAGAGAAACAAGAGATAAATAATGATTTAAGTCTCATTAATTTTTTTATTAAGACTAATTAATTTTATACGCGGATCTATTTTTTTTTAGGAATTGAAAAGCTGAAGTATCACAAGATTTGAGATTTGCAAAATAGAGAAAGATCTGTGTTGTAATCTTTTTTTTACATCATCTATGAGAATAAATATCCAATTCGTAGATATATAACACGGAAACGTGCGCATCAATGTTATTATGCGGTATAATTATGCGATTCGATCGAATCCTAAATGAGGTCGGCTGGAATAGACTTTGTCGCGGCTCACCTGAGAATCGATCACCTGGTTTTAAATTATTCAGCGCAAGGACCTTTCGCGCACGACTCATATTTCCGTATATATATATTCTTCAATTTACTAGTGGACCAGTGTCACCTCGCGCTCAATAATAATCCACTTACCGATGTTTCTTGCATCTAGTTACAAAGACTATAGATGCCTAACTATTTCTAGCTAGCGCCACAACTTTTATACAAGATACGATTTGTTTCACTTTTTTGTTCAATTATGCCATAAATCAAATAAGTGAAATAATAAGGAAATATAATAAAAAAAATATTGAATATATAATATTTTAATATATAATTATAAAAGAGAAAATAATATAGAGATGTTATATAGAATAAAGATGTTATAAAATCACTTTATACACTATAGATAACATAAAAAATGGATATGTGCTCTTAAATGTCAATTTCACATTTTCCTCTTTGTTTCAAATAAGTCTTATGGGAATCATGAAAATTGCAGATGTTCAGGGAACATTGTATTGTACATGTATCGAGAAAAAAAACAGAAATAAAATAAACGTGTTTAGTATTCTAGTTTTTAATCAAACAGATGAACGCGTGATTGACACGTGCTATAACCGAGAATGGACGATCGATCATACGATGATATTGAAATACGCTTTCACGCTAGATTTATCGGCCCTGACCACACTTGGATGACTTCACTTTTATAATTTATAACAATTCCGTAACGTAAAAAAAGAAGATTTTTTGTAATTACATATAAATTAAATCAAGTAGAAAGAACAGAGTCTACTTTGCAAATGCAATTTCCATCTGATGATGGTATTATTTTAGTGTAAATTTCATGGTAAAATTTAGAAAAACGTGTAAGAAAGACATGCATGAAAACATTCATTAGATTTTTCCTACGCATTACATCATTTCTTTCTTGGCACAGAGCACGTGAATCGCGTCCATCGAAAACGACGTCATTGCAGCTCCTTTTTGCTTCGCTCCCTTTGAACCAATTTCGTTGCGAAAATCATTCGATGGTTCATCAATCAATCAGCAGAATTATCTTGAAAAACGTAAAGGAGTTTGTTGCTTTTCTGCTTTCTTCAGCTTAATTCAGCCGGCGATATGTCAGTCGCGGACTCTCGCGACACGCGGACGTTGAATGACAAACAGCACCCGAGCGCGAACAAGCACTCTGAACTAGTTTGTAAAGAATTCTAAGGGGTAGTTCTCGTTCTCAAGACAACCACCTGTCAAGCACTTGTCACACGTTGCTTGCGCGTGTTTCGTTTCCTGAGCGCAAATCCGCCGCCGCTCGTCGATATAGGGGATGTTAACGCACTTCCGAGTCCTCTTCGCGCTTTTCCCGAGGGAATTTCCGCGTAGAAAAAATCGCGGCGCAGACGAGCTCGCGGGGGTCGCGTCTACTTCTCCAAAATCTGTACTTACGCAATGGTAGGACGACTCGCCGGTCCGTCAGGAACCGCAGAAAATCCACTTTTCCGCAGTCTTGCCTGGCCTGACGAGGGAAACAAATATGGCGGTACGACAACCACTGGAGCTGCAACGGCTCCACCTCGCAGTTGCCGTATCGTATCATAAAATCAATATCACCGCGTTGCTACCAACACCACGCGTTTCGTCATCATCGCGGCCCAGTCGCGGTACGCACATTTAGATCAGCTCCCGCGTCGCTCGCGTCATCGATGATCGTAGGAGTCAAACAAATGACCCGAATGGGAATCGAAAGATCAGATATCCCGGTTTTAATTATATTCACCCAAGTCAATTCGCACGCTTTATAATCCCGAGACACCTCGTCGATTCAGCTGTGCGCTCCGTTTTGAGACACCGTCGTCGTTTCGATCGTCGGCGAATCTCCGCGTCAAAGGAAACCAAGATTCTCTCCCCGCTGACGTCACGAAGAGTGACCTGGGAAATGAAGAAAGCCGAGGAAGAGATCGATCGAATCTCGTTCCTCGGCGCTTGGGTCGCATCGTTGATTCGCCGAACCAATTAGAGATTCGCATAGGGACTGATTATTCTCACGGGGAATCTTGGGAATGTCCTAATTACTGGGTGTTGTCGGTTTTCTTCGTCTGTTTGCTGCCTATCTTTTTGCGTATCCATCGTTCTCGCGTGCCTCCACAATCAGGATATGAGATTGATAAGATCACGTGAACGAAACGTGTGTTAATTTCGAGCGCGTTCTTAATTTAGTCTCACAATCAATGAAAACAAGCGTTGCATCGATGCACCATATAGATCACATCGGCTCATTCGAGGAATATATTTGCATCCACTCGTGCGCGCATTCATCGCCGTAAATAGAAATGGCTTTCAATATCACCAATAATCCATGCCTTCGTTTCTTCCGTATTTCGAGTTTCCCTATAAAAGAACGCAGCGCCGAGAAAAAAAATTACTCAGACCGTGATTAATACAGAGGAAGACGAGTATTTTTCTCTCCGCATTTATTAAATTAAAAAATGTCAAAATTTTAGTCTTTCGTTTGATTTAATTAATCTATAAGATCATTGTGGGATTGTTAGCAAAATACGGGTACTTTTAAAACGCGCTTAATTTTATTAAAATCTCTCAAAGCGATTCACACGCAAGAATGATTATATTGATCGCCGTTATAAATTAATCATGTGGGATTTAATAAGCAAGATTTACAGGATTTGTTATCGTCTGACATGTTGTTATGAAATATGGACGATATCCTTTATTCTGAGATTAAAATCGGTATTGTTTTAGTAATTTTCCTTCAAATAAATCAATATTTATGCTACTTGGTTCTCATTACACACATTTATAAAATGATTTATGAAATAAAATAAATCATAAAAGTACATATAAAAATCTTCCTTTTATAATTCAAATATCAAGTTTTTTAATTTTTCTTTGCTCGCGAATGTTCTACATTAAAATTTAACTAAATCTTATTTGCGAAGGAGAATTCTGCAGCTATTTCTAAGATTATGACCTTGTCTGATTCTCGTCGACATTCAACACGCACACTTCTATCGACATGAAATATTTTTCTGCCTGCCTTTCTTTGCCAAAATAAAATGTCGACTGATATCGATTCGACCGCAATTAATAAAGGCTTAGCAACTTTGCATTCAATATGGCACGAAAACAGGGAAAGAGACAAATGTGAAATTATCACCGACCGATGAAGCTGCCCCACATTTCGATTCATTGGCTATTGGCCAATTTTCCACAAGACTGCCAATAAAGAGGATGAATCAGTCTGAAATTATTCCAGATTACATCGTTAAGGCCAAACACTGTCTCATTATGACAGTGTGACATCTCATGACATCTCATATAGAGAGAGACAGAGAAAGAGAAAAGGAATAATACAATGACAGCATTATTATTACTTGCATGGATAACTCACGCAAGATTTCCATTTACATGATGTGTCGCGTGAACAAGGGATAATCTTTTAAACAGAAAAATTTCTCATTAATATTCATTTTTCACAAGTTTATTTTAATATTACAATTTTTCTGAAAACATATAATGTTTTCTTCTTCTATTAGCTTCTTTATGATTTTTAATATTGTGCGAATTATCATTTTTCAATTATATTAAATCATGAAATCTTTTTAACTTCCATATTATTGAAAGAAAGAAATAAATCTCTGGAAAAATACAAAATATGTATCTTTAAAAGATAAAAGATACTTTTTTATTTATCATAAAATTAGTAAAAAAATTTTGTTTAATCAATTTCTTCTATAATTTATATAAATATATAAAATAAATAATTAATAAATAAATTATTTTCTCTTTCTTAAAATTTGTGTAATTATA